TTGGAGGCAGGTTTATTACCTTTTATTATACCTCTCGATTGCGAAGCATTCTCCGAATTGATCTAAGCTTATCCTGTCTGTCGGTCTGCCCTTTCTGCTTTCTTGTGTTAAATCAATAGACCGCAGTTTGAGATATATTAACAAAATTTGTTACACTGATCGACCACTTTTTCGACCACTTGTCATTACGTAACACCATGTATTGGATAACGGTATTAACCGAAAAGTTTCAGTATATATAATGCGGCGCCATAGCTCCCATTAGTGTTTTCAGTCCCATTGAGCTTCCTGCACAAACTTTCCATACGAACGACACTAATCGTCGCTTTTGGACAGCGAGTCTACTCGCAAATAGAAATAGAAATGTTCAAAGCAATCATTATTCCATTAGATTTTCATAGACTTTACGTCGGAAGATATCAAAAGCGTTGTCAATGAGTTCAGCTGCATTATAAATATCAATTACAGTAATTTTAAGACTTTGCAATGCACATTATTTACCCCTTCGGACTTAGCAGTGTATATTATGTGTATATAATGTGATTACAAATTTATACAATTTGCTGCAATTACATACTATTATTAAAGATTTCACAAGCGAACGAGCAACGAATTTAAGAATAGACAGGAAATCTTGGAAATTGGAAATACGCCAATAAAGAATCCATTAATTTTCACAATACAATGTTGCTTTTCTCTCTTTATAAATTCATAAATTTTCTGCGCGAAATTTGTCTGATATATTGGTGACAGTATAATTAAGTGGTCTTGAGATGTTTGTGTTCATTAAAACAAATCAAATTTTGACACTTGATATTAAGAGAATTAATGATATTATCGCAGCATATAAATAATTTCAATAAACTGAACGTGACAATAAACGGAATGACTTTTAATAGCTTACAGTTTTGCGGAAAAAAAGTATTTAACAAACAAATACGTAAGTTATAATTGATCACGACCGAGTCTATTGCACTGATCGTCGTTATCCTGAAAACTGTGAAAATATTAAATACCGATATTCCATAACATTGCGAGGGCGGGGCTGGTTTTTCTATTTTCATAGCCATCATCAAATAATAATTCATTTCGCCGAAATGTTTGCAACGTCCAGAAGGCAACTTCGGCGACCCCCATAAAGTATATGCGTTCTTGATCAGGCCGTCTTTGATCATTTTGACCACGAAAATATTTACCACAAATATTATACAGTCAAGTAGATAGACAGACAGACAGTCAGACAGACGGATGGACATGCTTTAATCGGTTTGGAATTTGATATCGATCAACATTATATATATTTTACGCGGTCTACGAAGCTGGATCTTCTGGATTTTGCAAATGTTTTGTTAAATGCTCTTCGGTAATGGACATAAGAACATTCATAATTCTCTAATCAGAAAGTTTATTTTTAATTGATCTTAAGTTTATTTATATAGTAAGTCGTGCTGTTAAAAATAGTGCGCGTTGGTATCAAATTTCCCTTGTAATATGAATTTATTGACACTAGATAAGCAATAAGTTTATGCTTTTTTTATAATAATTTTCGTACTTATCACAGAAAGGTGGAGGTATCTTGATTATATCAAGACGTTTGCAACATCGAAAAGGATAACCAGCATTAAATTCAGAAGAAATTTAGGTAAGTACACCTGTCCGTCTGGCGATCTATATAACATCTGTGGTAAGCATTCGTTCCCTTTAGTGAAAGTAAAAAGATCGCCTTAAAATTATCAAAAACGCACTTACAGTGAAACATAAACTGAGAACAGCTCGGTTTCCACGGTTTCTTGCTCATTAACAACCTATAAAAATAGAAAAAAATCCCCCATGCACATCCGATATTCTAAAGTATAAGAATTTATATTTTTTTTTGATGCGTTTTTAAACCCATCACTGATGGGAAAGGTTCGCAACACCCCGAAGGTAGCTTCAAGGATCCTACATATATACATATATATATATATGTATATATATTCCTTATCACCTTCAAATTCTGAATACATTTAAGTATGTCCGTCTGTCCATCTGTATGATATCTGATGCAAATTTCAAATTTTGCAGAAACATTGACATTTCTTGCACTTTAATAGGGAAAATGAGCCAAATTGGTCGAAGGACGTGCCTGAGTACCACGACCAACTGAAAAAATCTCTCTGTTTTTGAAAGGGAATAAAATATTGGTTGGTTTTTTTTTTTTGCTCATTAGTTACAAACTGTAACAGATAACTCTACAAAAATGTGAACGTATATTCTGTGGGCAATGCTGTACTGCCTGTCCAAGAATCGGAAAAGTTGACCAAGCCTACTCGACATTATAGAGTATCAAAACTTGATTTTATCTTCATTACCTTTATATTGCACAGAAGCAAGCTCCAAAAACCTCATAAAGTATATAAATTCATGGCCAGATTCAAATTGGGAATGCACCTAGGCCACGCCCACCCAATATTATAGAGTATGAACTTATCAAGTCGTTACACTCTATGCCATCCAAGGCACAGGAGATATTAATTTAGTGCAGATGTATATAACAGACGGGAGGGCTTAAGAGAGCGTCGCCTTTTATTATACGGATCGATTGAGAATCATTTTCTGGATCAATGTAAGCCTTTCTGTATGTCCATCCGTGCGTCCGTGATCTGCCAGTAAAAATGTTTCATTTTCAATGTTTCATGGTGGAAATTACTGAATAATAGCGAAGAGGCAAAGAAGTCAACCTTACCGAATTTGGACCAACTAGAACTCTTTTTTGGTTTTCACCGCATAGAAAGATTCTCATGAAACTTAAGCACTTACAAGCCTAATTGTTAGTGTGTTATGATGAGAATTTGGGTCTGCATTTCGGGCCCCATTCTATATAAGATTTCTCATGAGTAGTAAGTAAGCCTTTTCGAAAATGGTTTAGTTTCTAATATTTTGTGATGAAAATTGGCTCATAGCAGCAATTTAGCAAAAAGAAATTAACCATAGGGAATTGGAATCAGATTAGTATATTTTTTAGACCCTATCCTAATGTTTATAGTTTTTTTTTTGATAGATTTGATATGAAAACTTTCATGAAAGGGATATATGATATTTGGAGTCGTATCACTAAACCGAGTAAATAAATAACGGTACTAACAGGTTAGAGTAGACTTGACCGATTATATAATGGTTTTATTTGCTATTAAATAAATTCGCTATTAAGTCGAAAAATTAATCCTTTTGGAATTGAAGTGATTGAGAAAGGAATGAAATAAAAGAACAAAAACTATTTAATTCATTTATTTATTTATTGAGTAATTCAAGTAAACAAACTCAACACGACTAAGAGATTATGTTACTCCCTTTAAACAAGAAACGACAAACAACAACTTAAACAACTTAAGAGAAATATGATAATGTTATAACCTATTAAACGAGTGGTCGTCTCACTCATATTTATTAAATATATATGTAATTTCTTATGAATAAATAATTCGATGTTATTATTTATTTCGTAAAATAACAAAGAAATCTTTAGAACGAGTATTTATTTATTAATTTCATATAGAGTCAAATGTCAATTTAAATGAGAAATGTATTTTTTAAGATATTATTTAAACTTTGTTTGGTTTCTCTGTTTCATTTCTTTATTGTAATTGTTGTAAAATTCGTTGTATGCGAAAATTACTTTTCAAAGTGCTCCTATACGCTACGCATCGTTATATTATGAAATGCTAAAGAAGCGCGCATTTCCGTAATAAGTGTGATAAGTAAAGGACGTTAAACGACCGTCAAAGCATCGTCAAGGAATTTCGAGTGTACAGAAAATTGAAGCAGCATAAAAAATTCTCGTGCAATTCGCGACCGCTTGCCAAAACGACCATCAAGAATCGTAACCGTCCAGGTTATCACGTAAGGATAGTTTTTCTGATCATTTTTAGAGTTTTACATTACTCTGTCAAATCGATTTAATTACTCTTCTTGGACTCTCCTCATACTCCTGTACCCCACGAGGTTTAGGTTTATGCTGACGTACTTAACACAAAGAATAATTTATGATAGACTTATCTTTTATTACATCAACCGATTCAGCGTTATCTTCACAAGTGATGTCAGCCATTCTGTCTGTCTGTCTGTCCGTCCGTCCGCCCCGTCTGTGGTCTGCTCATCTATATTCGTGTTTGAAATATTTCGATGAAATTGGGAACACTGGCGTGTTTTGGCCAAAAAACGAAATTGAAAATGGTTCGGATCGGTTCACCTTCTGACCACTCCCAATTGCAATTTCCAAAATTTTTCGGCCAAACTTGCCGAGTAGTAGTACTTCCACTTTCCAAATTGGTACGAAAAATTTGATTTGATTGGAGTGATTTTTTGAACCGCCTCTTATATAACCGTCCCCACGAAAAGTGAATTTTTATAAGGTAAAAAAATCGAATTTGCAATACGTCATGGTGAAAATTGGTTCATATTTGTGGACTAACGAAGAAATCAAGCTTTCCGAATTCAGACCACATGAGTCTATTTTTTGGATGCCACCGCATATAAAGATTCCCAGAATATGTAAATCCTTATATCAGAAAAATGCCTAATGTCTTATGATGACAAATTGTTCATGATAGTAATTTCACACAAAAATTAAGTGGGCCAAGTGTCAACCACATGGGGTCTATTTCTTGGATCCCACTTCTTTTAAGATATTTTAGGAACAGTAAACCCTTCAGAAAATTGTTTAATTTTTAATATTTATATTATTACCAAAAGGAGCTAATAACCGTACTAGAAAAATTGGTGAAGGGTATTTAACTGTCGGTCTTAACCTACTACAAAATTCTTACCTTGTTTTAAGAAAGCAATCTATGTATTTTAATGAAACTGTATCGCTATCGTACCAACGCTACAATAATATTATAGTTTATCGTCTCTTCCCTTCCACTTATAAAGAACTAACCGTAACTTGGCATAAGGTGACCATTTTACAGAATTGAATAACACATAATGGGATTTAATTTAAAATAAAATATTAATAATACTTTTCAGTGATTCGCTATACCAGCTATTGCAAGTTTCAATTAAGTTCGACCTGGTGCGCTGGGCGTATACTTTTCCGACGGTTGATATTGCCATTGAGCACAAATTTCGTCTTGTTCGGTTTTATTATAGCCTACCCTGAAATTAAATTGAAATAAGTTAAAATCATAATTACGTGAAATATGAAAAAAGAAAAAAAAAACAAAAAAAAAACATTTCCTTTTAACTGATTTTTAATTTTTGTTCAACAGCTAAATGTTGTTGTTGTTAACTCAAAACACTCAAGCGCGAATTCGTTGTTACGGTTCTTAATTGTCTTTGAATAATTGCATTAAGGTTTATAGATGCGGTAGCAAACCATTTGGACCTAAACACACTATTTTCAATATTTAATGGTTAATTGGTTCATAATAGTAAATTGACAAAGAAGCCAAAATTACTCAGTTTGGACCATGTAGATCTATCTTTCGGATATCACCACTTGTAAAGATTCGCAAAATGCACTTATACGCCATAAAGTGCTAATTGTTAGTGTTTTTGTTCATCTTAGTGATTTGACATAAAACTTAAGTGGACCTAATTTTAACCACATAGGCCTCCATATAAGATTTCTCATGATTAGTAAACCCTACAGAAAAGGGTTCAAGTTTTAATATTTTATAATGACAGTTGGTCCATAGTAGCAATTTAGCAAAAAAAAAAAAAAAAAAATCGGTAAGAAAATTATATTCGGACAAGGCCGATCATTTAATACCCTACATCACCTTACCAACTACAGTCACTCAATCATTTCCGTAATAATACATCAAAAATTATGCATTATTTTCATACAAGCACGTGATGTAGGATATCTAACGATGGGCCCTGCCCGACTATAATGCTTTTAGTTGTGTTTTGCCTTGCAACATTCCCCCTCAACGAACATATCCATAAGTTAAAATGTATACATATATATATATATAAGCTTAAAATATTTAATTAATTTGTTATGACGTAATTTTGGCAAATTTTTAGTAAAAATATGTACGATCGTATCTTAAACATTGCAATATATTCAATATATTCGCCGTTGCTAAACACGTCGCGTCTATAATGATAGCCTATATCAATATGTTTGCTGCGTGAATGATTAGCTGGAGTCTTTCTTAAGTTAATGGCACTCGTGCTATAGCTTTTTATAGTCATGGCTACCGGATGTTTTATTTGCATTTCCTTCAGCAATTTGCGCGAATATGCCGCATCTTTCTTTCCTAAAGCAAGTGCCGTAACTTGACGCAACAACACGCTGCTTATACATGATTCACCTCCAGGTAAAATAAAACCTTAACCCGTATGCGACTTGCGGTCAATAACATCGTCACCTCAATGAGCATCAATATAATATTTGATTGATTTGTTACTTATATGATAATGTGCATAGAGAGAAATCCTCGCCTATCAAAATCCTATTAATTTTATATTCCACTGCCGCGTCCTGACTGTTTTAAATCATATAATGGTTTTCTCAATTTCAGAACTCAATTTGGGTTTTCGGCATTTACAAAAGCTTCTGGCTGAACCATATATCCTCTCCTTTTGCCGAAATCTCCGCCGTTGTCACGTTACACAAGTCGTTCGACCGTTTAAGTAAAAATCAGTGTTATAACTTCACATCTCGCGACTGGGGAAAAAGTTTCGCTATTCTTCAGTCTATATTTTTGTGAACATTCCTTTGCATCGTATCGGGCCTTAAAGCTCTCTGCATTGCCATTTTTGTTGTTCTTAATTGTAAGGCCCCAGAGTTTTTAGATGGTTAACTATCTATTATCAGCCTTGACTTTATTGAAGATTTTTTGATTAATGTCTACACTCCCCCCTCTGCCCCCCCACCCCATCTTTATTTTTCACCAACCCTTTTAACCACTTTCGAGTCGGTTGGAAAGAAAAAGTTTAACGAAAAAAAAAAATCTTATATAACTAATTCTCTTCAAACCTTTGATGCGCCGAGCAGGGGCTGCGTTCCTGGAAACAGGTAACTTGTACTACGTTGTAAAAAATCGCACCAAGCGTATTTGCAGTTTCTGTAGCGGGTATGAAAGCCGTTTAATATTAAAATATGAAATTTATTACAATCGAGATCAACTTTCAACCTGTGTTCACTGCTTGCAAGCAACGCTTAAGACGATCATCACAATCGCAATGTGATCGTGTAAATGTACCGGTATTACAAAGACCTCGACGACATTCGCCCACTTTTAGGACATCTGGGCAATGGTCATGTTCGCGGCAGCAGCGATCCTCCTCAGTATGCGTACCCAAATCATCATAATTGTCGGCAATTGTCCCTATAATTAACATAAGATAAAATAAAGTAATAAACTCAATTCCTTAAAGTCGTCACATTGTTTTACCAGGTCCACACCATTTAGTTCCGGGATATATGAAACCTAAACCACCACGAAATTCTCTGCCGTGCTGACCTGAGCTCTTGCATACCTCCTCGAGTTCCATAACCGATTCTCTCGGAATTTGGCGTATACGTCGAGAATCAGCTTGCAACAACATGCGCTGAATGTCGCCGCTAAAGAAATTTATGACAGCATCTTTGTTATATTGAATATTTTTGCAGCATTGCGCCTATCTCACCGATCTGTATGCATTCTGCAAAATGGATGCCGTGATGATAACTCCACCATTACGGTCATCGCTACATCTGATATAAGAACTGCTGATCCATTTATACGATGCAAAGATAGCGACATGAAAGCGGCCACTATTGTAAGCAATCTAAAATTTACTGACACCATTCTAAGGTAGCACAAAAAAAAAAAAAAAAAAAATTTTTTAAGCGATTTATTTATTTATTTTTGCGAACGGGAGAATATGTACCACAAATACTATGCAGTTACGCTGACGGTCAGATGGACAGAAAAACAGACCAACATGCTTAAGTGTATTGGAAGTCTGTAACTGACCTAAAATTTATATGCTTTATATCTATGTGTGTGCAAGTACATGTACAAGGTAGGCGTGGGCAATTTTTCCCGTTTTTCACGTCAAGTTTTTCTACTTTTCCATTTGGTGTGTGCGTTATAAGTAAAGAGTGGAAAATCAATTTTTTATTCCTTTTGAAAAACGGAGTGGTTTTGTCGGCACGCCCTGTTACCGATTTGGCCCCCATTTTCAATACCAACCTGCGTTTAAGAATTTTCGTTGTTTCAACTAATTTGAAGTCGATAGCTTTATTGCCAGGAGAATGGCATTGCACAGACGGACGGACGGATATGGTTTAATCGACTCAGAATATGATACTGATCACGAATATATATACATTTTGTGGAATCTCTGAAGCTTCCTTCTGCAAAAGTTTTAACAATATGAATATATCCCTCATCCTTCTGACGGGTATAAAGACGATTGAATTCAATAACCGAACTAGAAAGAACGAAGCCAAAAAACTTAATGGAAGAAGCTTTTCTCAGTAGTTCAGACAAATTATTGTCAGTTCTCTTAAGAAGCATTTCAACTTTGTTTGCAAACATTTGCCAAACTGTAACTTCTTCCTGTGAAAATACTATCTTGAAACTTTATAAGACGTCCCGGCGAAGTGGGCACAAGATAGTCGAATTCTATGCAGCAAAACGCCATCTTCCCAAGCACAACGGCAGTAGTAGCAAGTTGTCGAAAATAGACCCCACCACCAAAAAACCGCAGCGCCATTTAGGTGAATATTAATATCGAATGTAAGGCCGAACATTTTTGGCGTCCCTGTTTAGAGGAATCAGTCAACGTCCTGCGACCCTCGCTGAAATATGCTTCCAACAATAATGGATGGAATCGCCGCTGTCTTTAAAGGAAAAACGGCTACGATATGCAAGAAGATGTTGCTTATGGATTTTTCGAGTTAACGAGCTCGTAAAAACAAGCAATATTTCACTGCTAACTTTCCAGTTTAATTGCCCTAAGAAACATCTACAAAAGTCATCAAACCTACGATGTGCGAATGAAAGAAGAATGTTTAAAGGCCAGTAGAGAACTCTGGAGCCATCTCTTACGCTTTGTTTTTGCATCTGATAGAGATTTAAACGAATTTATTTTTATCGGAAGAAACTAAGCCAACTTTTACTATCTACAATACAAAATGAACGATAATTTTTAACGTTACTACAAGCAAACTTTTAAGCTGAGGTCTGCCCTGCTGATGCATAGGCCTACCTACTATTAACGGACGAGAAAGACGAGACAATAGCCTGCATTTCTCCGTTTTTTTTAATAACAGTTTCGCTTTATAAATTACTCTAGAAGTCAAGCAACTCGCTGTTCACACCCTACACTATTTGTTGTACACGGTATATCAAGCTTTTACGGACGTATATGACTCGGTAGTTGAGATAAACCCATCTTTTCTTAGGCCAATCAATTCAAAAAGTGATTCTTAGCTTGCCGGTCCATCTGTTCATCTGATATCTGTTCATGTATTTTTATGTTCAGATCGCAATTGCGAGATATTTTGACAAAATGTGGTGCACTGACATGTTTTGGCCCAACGACGAGCGCTGTTGCAAACGGATCGGAACGAGCCATTTTCTCGATCTATAAAAAAATATTCTAATTTTCAGAATTTTGCAACAAAAATTGCTAAATAATAGCATTTAGGCATTCTAAGTTGGTATGAAAAATTAAGATCAGTTGGGACAATTTTTTTAAAGCCACTGATCAACCTTATAAAATGGTCTTAATGAAAAATGAACCCTTTTATGGCAAAAGTGTTCAATTTTTGTTACTTTCTAATGAAAATTGGTTCGTAAAAGTAATTTGATATGAAAATTTGGATCAAATAGGACTTTTACCCAACCACATGAAGGGGCTCTCATGCCAAGCAAATGACGACAAAGTTTAACTTATGGTTTTTATGATGGAGGCAGATGGAAATTGCAAAAGTCTTTGACAAGTAAATCAAAGTCTACTAAATTTGGCCAACATTAGTTGACGTTTCGAGAATCGTCTAACGTAGGGGCTGTCATAAAAAAATTATGCCTTCACGTAGAAATAATGTGTAATTTTTAATGTATTGTCATGAAAATGAATGATTGGCTGTATTAAGCGAAAAGGTGTAAGGTATCTACTAGGCGGTCTTGCCCGACTACAATGTTCTCTCTTGTTTTGAGAATCATTTTGGTATGCTTAACATTGAAGACGACTACTGAACGAAACCGTCGTCTGTCTTGATGGTAATTCTTGCTGGACTCAAGACTCATAGATATTTAAAAGATTATCCAATAAATCAACTCAATCAATGTCAATTTTCCTATTTTGCTCATTAGAGCAACCTTTCAGTTCATATACAAGTGTTTACCGGGAAGCTCTTGTAACTGAGGTAAACAAATCTATTTAGTTCGTTTTTTTTTCCGATAGGAGCAGTTATTATTCAACCTAGGTATATATGCAAGGGCCTTGGACAGAAGGCGGTGATTTTGCGATGACATTTAATAAGTAAACATGACGTATAGTCGGTAATTGGATGCTGGAAATTGCGTCTGAAGCATGTGTCAATACGTTGCGAAGACATTTAAGAAATTTAACATCCGCTCTGCGGTACGTAGATAAGCACGCGTACAATATGCGAGTATATGAAGAATCAAGGTCACACGGCTTAAGGAATTTAAAGATATATTCAAAAAATAAAATCCAATCTTACGTTTATTAAGCACGTTTAACAGAGGGAGAGAATCTCTTTATAAATTATGTTTACTTAAATAATTTATCATAAATATGCATACACATACACACACACACACACACATACATACATACAATTTGCGCAATTATGTTATGTAAAGCCGGATTGAGAACGTGGGGTGAGCAATTTCTATAGCGTTATTGAAAAAAGTTATTTTTCTTTTCTTTGCTTTTTTTTATTTTGGAGGTGAGGTCGAGATGTAGGGATAAATAAATGCATGGAAAAATGTAAAATTGAATTTAATTGCTTCATGCACAACGGAATCAATTCATTTCATTCAGTTATTTTTAACTGTATTTTTAAGTGACAAGATCTCTAAGCATGTGTATGTTTGCCTCCTTTCTTTTGTAATAATTGCTTCAATGACGTAGTAATGAATTACTTTCACCGCATAAGCAAATAGTATACGCTGTCGTTAAATATTCACAAGTACGTGTACGTACGGTACAGAGGCAAGACCCATAGCGACCTTGCAAATTTGACACCGCTCCTAGGCTCATTCAAAAAAAAAAAAAAAAAATTAATTAATTAAATCAATGTCTATAAGCAACTTAAAAAGCAATTAAACCTTTTTTTTTTTTTATTCTAAATAAATTTCATTACAGAGTACAGTAAACACATTTAACGCCTAAAAGCTATTATGCCCGCGAGATAGATTCGCGTCCACGTGCATTGCTTTTGAATGAACTATTTACGTTACTTACTCTTTTGTTTTGTCAATATGCACATATATATATATATATATATATATATATATATATATATCTTTTCTTTTTTTTCTTTTCTAAATTCTCTTCCTTCTCAACACGTTTAACGCTTTAGATAAGCTGAACGTTTTGTGAACTTGTAAAATGTAAAAATTTGTTGTCTTCGTTGTCGTCGCTCAAACGTGAGGAAAAAAAACAATTTGTTTTACACTTTTTTAATTTAATAATAATTTATGGAATTTTATTTTTTTTTCTTCTTCTTCTTCTTCTTCTTTCATAAATTCTTTCCGACAGACAAACATTTAGCGGCCGTTGTTGCTGTAAAACTGAACTTGATTCTTAAATATTAAACTTGGCCCAAAATTATTGAGACATGCTATCTGCCTCTACAACAAATAATGCACTTCTATGGGGTGAAGAAATTTTCAGCGGCACATAGAAACCCCTTAAACCACAATAGCCGTTTACTTCATCATATTAATAATCTTCAAGGATTTTGAGCTTAACGATAAGTATGGCTTTTTCAAACTCACGCCTTAAGCGATAGGCGGAAAAACAAAAGGAAAATTGAAAAGCCATAAGGATAACGTAATGAAATGAATGTAAATAAATTAACTTACAGAGCATTAAACCTGAGATTAAAAACTCATTGTTCCATACTTCCGTTTACCAGAGAAAAAGTTGGGAAAAAATTCAGAAAATATGATACAAATAACTGTACAAATAGGATAAGTTACTTTAAGGTAAGAAAGGTATCCAAAATTCGCATTAAAATGAATAAAGTTTTCTCGCTTGGTCTAGCTTAAAATTAAAAAAAGAAAAATCATGTAAGAAAATTATATTCGGTTAAGGTCGACTCTTTTACACCCATCATCGTTTCGAACTCTTCTTGCAAATTATTTTTTTTTTGCGTGGAAGAGAATGTGTACCACAGATACTGCGCAATTGGGCACATAGACAGTTGGGCAAGCTTAGGTATATTCCGAATCCGTAATTGGTCTAAAATTTATAAACTTTATGAGATTTTTGAAGCTTACTTCCACGCATTATAACGGTATTAAAAAAAAAAAAAAGGAATTTTGATTTTTCACATTTTTGTACAGCATTGCATGCATTTTCGATTCCAACTTACGTGTAAGAAATTCCGATGTTTCTGTCAAATTTTAAGTCAATAGCTTTATTTTGTAGCCCGGGAGTTTTATTTTTATAGCAGACATTAGACGGACGGAGGGACGGACATGGTTAAATCATTTCAAAATTTGATGCTGATGCTTAGCTGTTTCCCGAATCCGTAAGTGGCCAAAATTTTATATACTCTATGGGTTTTTTGAACTATGCTCTGCACATTATTAAGCCATTACAAGCCTCGCGAATAGAAGATAGGTTCAAATTTTTGTAGATTTGTCTGCTGTAGTTTGTACGTAATGAGCAAAAAGGAACTTGTTATACCTTTTGGGAGACAGAGGTGTTCTCAGCTTACGTGGCCTTGATCATTCGACTGAGTTGGGCCTTTTTTCAATACCAACCTGCGTGCAAAAGCTTTAATTGCAAAATCGACAGCTTCATTTGTGCGGCCAAGCGTTACGCAGACTGGCAGAGGCACATGCTGAATTTGATGCTGATGCTGAGACCCCATGTCTCTGAAGCTGACATCTAGGCGTTGCAAACATTTTGACAAAACAAATATGCCACTCATCCTTTAGTGGTAGGTGCAAAAAAAAAAAAAAAAAAAAAAAAAACGTGTACAAAAAATATATCAAAACACACAAATATATGTACAGAACCAAAATGTGTTATCTATATTGAATATGAATACTAAATATAAGTACAAGTTCGCACATAGTTAACGAGCTACGAAGAGATAGACTGCTTATTCTATTCAGGGTTTAAATTGAAAATTCTAGATACTCTACAATTTAATTAATTTTTTTTTTTTTTTTTGAAATAGTTGCTTTAAATATTACAATTAATGTAAATTAGATCTCTAATTGTAAGTGTGTAGTAAATGTATAAGTATTAACTTAAGATGCCTCCTGCCCACACAGATTCCCCTTTTGTGCTTACCTAACTCACAATTGAAAACTCCATTCTTGAAAGGCTTTTATTTGGTATAGTTTTTAATGCCTTAGCACTTCAGTAGATTTACTTCAGTCCATCTTACAACTTTATCGGCGGTACTGTAAAGAAACTGTGTTCACCCCATCACTCACCGATATTGTTCTCATTTTTTTTTTTTTTTTTTTAACATAATTAAATATAAGAACAGCTAAAAACATTATATCCGGCACGGCTGACTATTAAATACCCTATACGCGTTTTACCAAATGCAATTGTTCCCTTGTTCCCGTTATAAAATATTACAAAAAATCACATCTTACTTTTCTTAAGAAACTTCACATGAGGAATGTCGGCAGAGACCCTGAAACATGAACCGACCTAAATCCAACTCAATAAAATTAACATTTCTAAGGTAAAGAATTTCTGATTTTTCAAGCAATTTTGTTACAACATAGGTTAAGTTATGCTTTCCATGAGAGAGAATCCTTACGGGGGAAATGGTTCGAGAAAAAGGTTCGAGTGATACGAATTTGTATACCATAAATTTCGAAATCAATTCTTGGTGGTCGTAAAAATGAAACGATCGCAATAAGCTCGAAAATTTTTTCAAACTTTAGAATAAAATCAAAAACACATGAATGGATATCGGACAGACAGACAGACAGACAGACATTTAAATCGATTGATTTAATTAGTTAGATTAGTGGGCCCAGTTCAAGTTCATTTCATTCGCAAAAATTTAATAAAACATGACCTTACAACGGATGATGTAGGGTGCAATTAAATCTAAATTGAAATATGTATTTCAATTGCATTTTAGTGAGCTAGTAATTTGTTATTAAAAAGCATTGAATTTTTTTACTAGAAGGGGAGACACTCTTTTCTTAAAGATCTTCAGTCTTTTTTTTTTTTTTTTTTTTTATTTAAGTTAGGTTTGATACCTATTGCATACTTGGAATTGGAATTAAATGTTGCTTGTTGCAAACTAAAGAATTGTAGACGCATGCTGCTCGTATGGTAATGTTAGAAATTTATACATACCTATGATTGGTTTATTTACTTGTTTTTTATTAGCTTCAAGGTCAAAGCTCTTTACTCTATCGTCTCATCTGAACAAAAGGCCGCTCAAATTGGAAACATTCTTCTCACGGACATCGAAATATGAAATATACCTTGAATTTACGAAAGTCTTATGATTATACGCGCTTCGTTCTAATCTAATCGAAACATTTTTTTTTTTTTTTTTAATGTAATTGATAGAACATGATAGTTTTGCACCTAAATAAACGATATATTTAGCAAGATAAATGTAAGAAAGAACGTGTAAGCCGAGAAGCGGGTATATTCGAGAAATATTATGAATGAAAAAAGATTTCAATTGACTTGAAATGAAGGTAAATATATTAAATATTAGATAAAAGCAAAAGTGTTTTTACTTGCTTTAACCAAAATTCAAATCTACCCAATACCCTGCACTACTTGTGCTATAAGAATAAGTTTGTGTGGATGTTTGTAAAACCCAGAAGAATTTGAGAATGACACAATTTTTTTTTTTTTTAAATCGATCAATTTAAAAGAATCACTTTCTAAATCGACTTTGCTTGGCGGTTCATCCGTCCATCCGTCTTGTTTCCTTCCTTTCAAACTACATATCCTTATTTTTTGAGATATTTCGATGAAATATGCTTTGAATCAAGGGGAAGCTCTATTAAAAATGTTTCGTATCGAATCACTTTTTTGTCCGCTTTCCATGTAACGACTTATTTTCAAAAGTCGCTACATGAATAACCATAAGGAGGTATAGGGTATTTAACGATGATCATGATCGATTATAGTATTTTTATTTTTCTTTTAATATTTCAAGTAAATCATATATGTTTGCCCCTTTGATCGAACCCAGAACCATTGCTTTGAGAGAATCATTAAACCGTCCACATAGAATATTTGGAATTTCTAGGGGAAAAACTGAACCAAGTAATTCAAGTTTACAGCTAGTCGAACCAGTCAAAGACCGCATCATTCGTTGGATGCATAAGAACTTCCCAACCAAATTGAATGTAGCTCGACATTGTTGTAATGAAAGACGCAGTCTTTCCAACTTATCAATCCTGAACGTTTTATCTCAATTGCAGTCTTTAATAGTACTGGGCGTTGACTAAGTCGGAGCAACTTATGGAACATTGGCTACATTATCTCACGTACCTTCAATTGGACCATGATCTTTTTCGCACGTCGTTGTCATACGTGACATATCTTTCATCGTCTATCAATCGTTTGTCAATCTCTTGAAAATTCCGTTGATTGATTTGTTTTTTCATTCTTATGTCGAGCGGTTTTTGGGTCAGTAAACCGAGATGTACCGCTTTTACTCATCCTTTTTTTTTAAATTTCAACCATTTTTTCAGCGACGCAGCACGGTGCGTCTTTAAAATTGGAATTTCTGGAGAGGAAACGAACATTCATCATAAGCACCATGAATCTTACGAACAATATTGTGAAATATACCGTATACCCTTTTCTCCGAATTTTGGATCATTTTGAAAACGCATTTGCTCTCAACTGAATTATATAAGACCTGCGAAAAACTATAGTTTAGTTAGTCCCTTTAATTTATACTGGATTTAGTGAATAGAGTTCATAATCTCACTTTGATAAATCTACATACATATGAAGCGCTTTCCACAAAAAGAAACTGCAATTGACTTCCCGTTCGAGCATCAAAACAAATCTAACAGATTCCTCCACTTGCTTGCCTTAGTTTAATTAAACAAATAATTATGTTATGCATATATACATATATATATATAGATATATTTTGTAAGGAAGCGATCGCTCCCTTATGTTTATGTATATACCATAGTTACACTCATTCTACTTATATTACTTATATTTACTACAATTGTGCTTGTATATATCCGCATACTTACGCATACGTAATAAAATAAATAAAATCTTGTAATATTTACCCACACTTGCATATACTTATATTTTTACTTATGTTCCTTCTTGAATTTCTTCATATACCCATTCATTCCTTGCTATATAAATCTCATATATCCTACAATACTCTAATAGACTTATGCTCTCGTACTCATAATTCACGTGCATTGCCGATCTCACAGGCTAGGACAATTGTTATAAGACGTCTCTCTCTCTCTCTACATTTGGAAAGTATACAATAAAACCATTTTGTATGCACATAGCCATACACACACAGAGCGGTTGAATATTAAGAATCGGGTTATGCTGTTGACGTCATGGAAATTTTCCTAAATCTCTTTGACAACTGTGGAGAGACACACTTACCGTTAAACTCTCTGTTTACTAATGCGCAACATTTTAAATGAGAAATTCACCTCAAGTTACCTCTCTTTCTGATCTATGTTAACAACATAGCAAGTGTGGTGAATTGACAGCTATAAATTCAGCGCGCGACCACCGATTAGTATTTTATTGTTCAGCGGCAGTCGAGAAGCAAATGTAAGCAACCAACATTATTCCTTCAGAACGTTGATGATTGACTGTTTCCTGCAATAGGACTATCAAACATCCTTCGGTCTGAGGAATATGCCTTATTATTCCGTCAGAACATTGGTGATTGGCTGTTCCCTGCAACAGGGCTGTCAATCATTCTTCGGTCTGAAGAATATATCCCTGGAATAAGCTGTAGCGACTGTACGCTGAACAGTAGCTACGTTCATTGCAGATTAGACATACGGTGCAGCGCCTTCATGGCAATTTTTACGGGGTCGGCAAATAAAAAACGCGTCACGCATCACACACCTGCTGTGCTAGTTTTTTTTCCCTACCACGCATGCGCATCATACCCTATGTAATTATTATTTTCAGCAATTTTAACCAAAATCCACATTCCTAAAATAAAACAACCGGATCAGACAACAAAGAAAAGGCCTTCTCAAATAATAAAATTTTCTTCCAACGAACGCCCGGGAGTAGCCCTGAGTATATCCCGGCTATAGAAGGGAGGATCCTGAGGTGGAATCGTTATCATTTTCTTCATGGCCTCACAGATCGCTAGGTCCGTAATGAGGAATCATCCGTCCTCAATAGGTAAACTGATCTAAAAATTGTTAAAAGGGCTTCCAATTGAGTCATTGATAGATCAAAAATGACATTAACAAAATACATATTACATACTCGGTCGAAATTATGACGACCTGAGGAAAATTAATGGCAATAGAATAAATTCCCTTCAGTGTCGCATGTGTAACCCATAATACACTTATCAATGAAAAGCACCAGTTCTTTTTTTTTTTTGTTGGTCTTTCATTGAAAGACCGACCAGAATTTTTTATTGATTGAATCTCTATAGATAATGAACTTATTTCACGCTATTGTTTATAAAAAAAACTAATTACTTTCAAGTATTTTCGTATGTGCATTAAAGATAGTATTGTAATAGTGATAAAAAAAAAGAAAAAGTAATAATTAGTAAAGTAATAAGAATAAAGTAAGAAAAAAAAAGGCAGAAAACTACACAAGAAAAATCCTTTCTACTTAAGATGAAAAAGTATTCTACATTTATGTCTGAGATAATATGAAAGTCAATTATTTTAATATATATTCATAAAATCTATAAAAATAAAAACAATATAAAAGAAGAGAAAAATAAATGTAAAGATTTTCTTTTCTGTTTTTCTGTCAGCTCTGTTTATGTTAATGTGGAAAATGTACCGGTAATCCTTGATACATGCTTGATGTTATAAAGATCACGGCAAAGTTAGAAATATATATAATGACGACGTCGTTAGCAGCCATATTTATTTCTTAATTTTGCATTTGAATTGCTGGTCGTTTCACTATGATCTTATGTAAAGCAAATTACCGCCCGTTACTTCTTTAATTTTTTTTTTTTTCATCTATAACTAAAACTTATTTCTCTTATATAAATATATGCATTTTAAGTTAATTTTAAATGTGGATCTTTCCAAATCTAATGTATATGTGTAATGTATATAGCAAATAAGATACTTTTTAAAAAGAATAAAAATAATTCTCGCCCAAGGAATATACGAAACCTCAACAATCGATTAGGGAAGAAAATTCTTTCTTCAGATTGCTTCACGTATTGAGTTTCAATTTTTCACAAAACTGTGCCATTTTCCTTAAAGCTTTATAGACTTAAAATATACATGGGAATTTATATATGGTTTGCATTATATATTATATGATTCATTCATTATTTTTGCTTTTTAACATATGTTAATGCTATGTATTCATTACAATATAATAAAATTTGGATGAGAGGGGGAAAAAAAAAACGAAAAAGAAGAAATCCTTTTGTATTCAAAGTTAATATTAATATATTGTAAAAGTAAGAAATTAAATTTTGTGACGATGCTGCGAATGAAGGCTTAAGCACGTTCGCCACGAATACGGCGAGCCAATTGAATGTCCTTGGGCATAATGGTCACGCGCTTGGCATGAATGGCGCACAAATTGGTGTCCTCGAATAAGCCAACCAAATAAGCTTCGGAGGCTTCCTAAATATTTATTAAAAACGAATGATACATGTACAGACAAAGATGATAAATAATGGCTAATCATCATAATAAATATGTCGGTACCTGTAAAGCTCCAATTGCGGCCGATTGGAAACGCAAGTCCGTTTTGAAATCTTGTGCGATTTCACGCACTAAACGTTGGAAAGGCAACTTGCGAATCAATAATTCGGTCGACTTTTGATAGCGCCGAATTTCACGCAAGGCCACGGTACCGGGGCGATAACGATGGGGCTTCTTAACACCTCCAGTAGATGGGGCCGATTTGCGAGCGGCCTTTGTGGCCAATTGCTTCCGTGGAGCTTTACCTCCAGTCGATTTACGAGCTGTCTGCTTGGTACGAGCCATTTTTATATTTTAGTCGATCTATTAAAAGAAAGAAAAAAAAAAACAATTTCAAAATTTCGTATACATTAGTTGACAGAGCAAAACAAGTTATCTTACTAAAAAATTAGAAACTGAATGGCATTTATAATTTTAAGTAATTAGAAATGAAAATGCATTGATTGAAATTTGATTGAAAGAAAGACGATATTGGTCCAAAGCTTATTGAAAAATATGTCGCAAGTTTTTTAGCTTTCTACTTCTACATTTTATGGACTTTGTCTTTGGCTGATTACAAATATGCGTAGACCTCATAGTGTCTCTAAAAGAATATTTCTAATGGCTAAATGAAAACAAGCAATATTATAACAGATCAACGAGGGGGAACTCGGGCACTATTATTATTATTATTATTAGAAACCAAACATGAATGCGTGTTTCGTACACCGGGTAAGAAAAAACCACCACTTTTAGAAGTATTATATTAGTATAATACTTTCAATGCAATGCTCACAAAACATTTGCTCGGCTAACATTTGCAACTTCACGATATAGTTATATACCCTTTTATACCCCTTTTGCCCCATCGAGCATCAATAAAGACGTTGCGTTACAAATACCGAGAGTTAACAAAAATTTACCCCTTAAATGTGGATGGCACATTCATCGCCTAAAGCAAGAAATTAGGACCAATCTGTATTTCCAATTAAACTTTAGAGAACGAAATCTGTAGCAAAAATGAAAAAAAAACCCCAATATTTAATATTTTTTATATCGTTCGCGCTATTTTTTATAACCTTTGTGCATTTTGTTACACTGAACGGACAAATTATCACTACACTTAACCTCAAAAAATATCTGAAATTAAAACTTAAGAGTATATTCGGTATTTGACTAAAACTGATTTTGCATCATATTTGATTTATTCTAGTAAATATTGCGAATTTATATCAGTACGAGTGGAAAACAACAAAACTCGTTTTGCTCCCTTACATGCAACTGTGAAAATTTGTAAAGAAATCACAAGTAAAAACAAAAGAATGGATAAAAACTCAAGACACTCTCTCAAATTGTAAACGGAGAGCGATTCGAGAAATGCCCGCGCGTTCACAAAATAGAAAATGGACTGACATGCATACAAAAAGAGAAGTAAGAAACATGTATACATACACAGAGCAGCCAACAAAAAAAAAAAGATATTAACGAAGACAAAATCCAACAAAAGCCTAGAATAATGCAAATATTAGGCTGACGAAATTTTTTTTTTATAAAGTTTGACGAACTGCATCACGCTTCTCCTAACGTCACAAATTTATTACTTGAATTCGCATACCAGCGATATAAAGAAACCAGTAAACATAGTAATACATCTTGCACGTACGTACTCACCCACAAAAAAAAAAAAGGAAATATTTCACATTTCACTTATTAATCCGCCATTTTGAAAATGTATTTTTTTCCCACAAAATCTAACAATTTAAAATCAATAATTTTCTAGACATATAACTGCTTTTTAGCCTTTTAATATTACACATGAATTTCTGGAGTTAGGTACAGTTCTCACCAAATATTAAAATAATATTTAAAAAAATTCACGAATTTCACCAAATTAATTGGACTTACCTTTCTTGTAATGGAAATTAAGATTTTAATTTTTTTTTTCTTTATATTTGCACTTGGCGTCCTCCGATTCTCGAAATTTCACGACTGTTCTTCTCAATGACTGGTTTTATAATGAACATATTTGTCTTTTTCACTGAAACAATGTTGCCAGAACAGACATTTATTCCCAATAATTCATTTCAATGATAGAGTTTCGTATTAAATATTAGGTATTTCAAAAAAAGGAACTACTTGGCAAATGAAAATACTCGATATATGCATAATATCTTATATACGATGATTATTTATTATATCTATACTAACTGATATTGTGGAAAGAAATAACGGATGTATTTATAACAAATTTTAAATTGCGAGATGATTTAGTTATATTTAAATTTTTTCTTTTGGGTTTTACGTTAAAAAAAGATTTGGTAAATGCAAACATCATGGCTAAAAATTTATTCCCAATTGATTTATGATAAATAATTATAAAAAGTTCATGGAAGGATAATCTCATCGCTACGTTTCTTGATAACATTTTTACCAAAGTACAAAAGGAAATATTAGGTAACTCTGCTAAAAACTGGCGCAATTTTTGTTAAGAAATTGATAGGATTTGTCCATCGGCATTTTTTCTCTTTTATGTTATGGCAGACTTACATATTAATATAAAAATCTTCTACTTTGGGACATATGTATGCATTGAGATTTTTAACTACCCTACAATACATAGCGCAACACCCTTTATGTGAATCTTTTATAGGTAAGATAGACATATTCGTTCGAAAGCCTTCCGAGAATTATCTCAGTCATATGTCTGATTCCACTTCAGCTCGTATTTAGTTATACCGTCAAAGCTATGTACACGCATATGTTTTGTCTCTCTTTATACAATTGATTGCCTATGATAGGAAACTATTTCAACATTATGATCCACACTTGTTCTTGGAAATTGTTTAATAAGCGTTAAAGTAAAAAAAACGTCGTAGTAGTACGAAAATTTCGTGTCTAACGTGAAGATGCATCGAAAAGAACAAAAAAAAATTACATTAGTTTCCAAACAAAAACGGATACATGTAGTGGATTGGGGAGCTGAGTAAAAAAGATTGTACAATGTGCCTAAATAATTTCATACATACATAAACCATCTGGCCCACAAGATATTATTTTACATCCCATTTTTTCTCCACTCAAGCAGCTAAATATGACTTCAATACAGTTGCTCTAGCTATTGTAATAAGAAGAAAGAGCAAAATAGATCACACTAAAAACATAACCTTAAATTAAAAAGCATACTCTTAGTCGTGCATGGCTTGTTTCGGGGACTACTTGCACTAAAGCGGGGAAATATTCATACCAAGTAAGATGCAGTTTTATACTTGTTAGGCCATGTTGCGGCTAGAAATTTTAGATAATTCAGGTGAATAGTTGTATCAGTTTTTCGACTTTTGCCTGCTATGGACTGTAAATTGCGGTTTTTCGCAAATTGTAGGCATTGCTATAGGTGAGTCTCTTCTAGTCCCAAGTAGCTTTAGAAAACTATTTTAAAGCGATTGCGTAGACAAATGAATAAGAAAATCCTTGCCACATGGCTTAGTGGTTTTAAGATTTTTGCTATATTACTGTATCAAGAATATATGTATATACACAGTGAGTCTCATTAATATTGGGTTTTTTCGTTCATCAAAAAGTAAGCGCTTGTTGAACTTGGTCCATTGTCGAAAGGAAATTTTTTTAAACTATTTTGTACTACTCGGGAATACATATTAATATATATGAAAAAATACAACAAAACAAAACATTATTGCAGTAAAACACAAGAAAATTAAATAACTTCAACAACTTCAGGAACATAGTGTCTCTAATATTGGAAGGATACGAAAAACAAAACCTATTTTCGATGGGGTTCATTCCTGGTGACTAGGAGCAGTTATATAAGAGCCATTCTTACGTTCTTGTGTCAACGGCTTACAGCGAGCATAGCAATCGTCATGTTATAGTTTGGTATGCATTGGGCCAATGAAGTCGAGAAATTGGTGTTTATGGATGGCATTGCAAACAAGGAAGATTATTGAGGAAAATTTGTAAGAAAGTGCGGATTAACTTGGTATTTTGGAAAAAAGCAAATTCTACCACAATAACGACTTTAAGCGTAAGTCCCGCTTATATCATGAATGGCTCTTAGAAAACTGCTCCAATGTTCTCCACTCTCATCCCCAATCACGAAGCATGAACCTGGGCGAAAAGTCCGTATCTCTTCCGTCCATGATCTAAAAAAAAAAATCTATAAGAAAAATGGAGTAAGATTTCTCTATCTCTTACACAAGAAAAATTGCATAATATATGTCATAATATTTAGTTGATGTTATTAAGCAAAAAGGATACTCCACCAAATATTAATTTTTAATAATATGCTGTTTCGCATCCTTCCTTATAGGAGAAAAACCCAATATTAATGACGCAACGTTTTTGAAGTTGTTGAAGTTATTTAATTTTCTGGTCTACTTGAATAATGTTTTGTTTTTTTTTTTTTTGTTTTTATATATTAATATGAATTCCCTAGCAGTATAAAAAATAGCAAAAGCAATTTTTATGTTCGGACAATGAACTAGGTTTAACCGGCGTTTACTCTTTTTCGAGCAAGAAAATCCAATATTAATGAAACGCACTGTATATAATCGTTGCGCATTAAAGCAAATGACAAATTAGAATACCTCTGAAAAATTTAAGTGCTTTAATATACGGAATATTGATCGATATTGTTTCTGCTGACTTTTGAACTGAGTTTGACGATAACGATAATATACGTATGTAACTTAAAACAATGTTTGCTCTCTTAGTTGCTATAAATGATTTTTACAAACTGACAAGGATAGCTTAAGTATACATATATATATATATATATATATATATATAGTCCATCTCAGATGCATATCTTTGTGTGTTGCTAACATTTGACAAAGGAATTATTTCACTTTAGATTATATCATATAAATTAAATTTTTATTTTAGAAAAAATATTTTCACAATTTGTGTAGGAAACAAGTAAGAAAAGCTATATATATTCGCTTTAGAGCGCGAATCTTGAATACCCACCAACTAGGCTTAGAAACTTCTATCAGCTAAACTTCTTAAATTGGGTAATAAAGTACACATGAATGAAAACGTATGAGCCATTAAAGTAAATATGAAATATGTGATTGTTCCTTTTACTATGGAAAGATTAATTAAGAATTTGCCTAGAAGTTTAATTATTATTTTGTTCGATTTTATAAATGGAATAAGTTTTGTTCTTAATGAATTTGTTGCGAAACGAAACAGCTCTACAGCAATTAATGGGACAATGAATACACCGTAGCAGACAAATGCTAGAATGCGTCTTAATTGTTCAATCAAAGTCCATTAAAACCTTCTTCTCCGCTGTCGCATACTTCTTAATCTTATTAATTTGGCATATCTTTACTCGCTATTGGTGGGCATAAAAAGAAAGATGAATAACGGGTTAACATTTGTTTATAAATTCTAACGTGAAAAAAAGCTGGAAAAACTATAATCTAAAGTTCACTCTTTTACTTCTGTTTCATTGTTAAATTCAGTTGCGCTACTGCTGCTGCTGTGAGACTCTTCAGATTCGGGTAATTTTTGCGCGGAACTTACTCCCAATGTACGTAATCTTAGTTCCAAATCAGCATCGTGCTCTTTGATTTCTTCAATTTTATCTGCTTCCAAAGGTACAGCTTCTGGGCAGGAATCTTCATTGTCCTCTAGATCACTATCCTTTGACTTTTTCTTCGATTTTTTCATTTTCTTATGAGACTTTGTAGAATCATTATCATCATTTACATAATTACTCTCATATAAAGGCCAAAAAGAAGCGAAGAAGCCGACATCTTCTGTTAAATTGGGGAATATCCAAAAACGTAATTTACCACCAGTCAAAGCCCAAACAATAGTGAAAATGATCAATCGTACGAACGTTAAAACCAGTATAAATACCAAGAATCCTGCTGCTAGCAAAGATAAATAGTAAACACCCTTGCGTAGAATAGGCGGCCACAAAGGGAATAGACATACACCTATGGCTCCCAATAGCACTATTAAACCATATATCCAATAGTGCACGGGTATAGGATCATATATCCAAACGTAAGCTTCAGAGCCATCAACGAAAATTTGATCGGGATGCATATCTAAACGTATTTTACGTTTACGTTTCTCTTTCTTTTCAACGCTATTTGATGATTTACCACCAGCTTCATCAGTTGCACCACCATTGCTACCGTTAGCTTCTGCTTTGGTTTCATTTAACTTTTTATCTTCTTTCGATTTTTTAGTTTTGCCAGATTTCTCTTTGCTTTCCTCTTTCTTCTCATTGCCTTTATCGACTTTTTTAGAAAGTTTACTATTGTCACCAACACCACCGCTATGACGTATCTCATCAACATTTATGGGTACTTTTTGGGCGCGATGGAAAAATTTATGTATCAACATTGTATCTAGAAATGCTACCACATCTTCACGTGCGGTAAAGTAAGGTGTATAACCTTCAGCAAATTTTGACTTTAGTAAAGCGTCAATAGCTTTATTGGATGTGAAATATTCAACGTCATGGTTCATTAATTTTGTCTTTTTAGTTTTCACATTTTTCTTCATCCATTTGGCAACTTTTATCTCTTCCTTTGTAGGTTTTTCAATTTGTTCACCGGGGGCTTGATATTCATCTTTGCGACGTCGTGACTTCTTCTTTTCCGACATTATTTTTAATTTAAATCAATCCTTTTTTTCGATAATTTGCAAACACTTTAGTTAAATAAAAAGAATTATTATTAATTATAATTTACTAAAAACACAGAAATCAAATTTTTCTTGCTTTTTTCTATATTCCCTTTCCGTATTTTATATATTTTCTACTTACGTGGTGTTTTTTATTTCACTTTGCTGTGTGTTTGTCTTTTTGTTTACATTTTCTTTCTGAAGAAAGTTGCTTTCATCAGCTTATTACACCACGTATGCGTATTTTTCTCTTTTCTAATACGTTTCCAATTTCTATACAACCCTGCGTATACCAATGCCTAACAATATATGTATGTGTATATTTGTTACTTACTTTGTCACTGGTTCTTTTCTCCTCACAAGTCGTCTTGTATAAAAGCGGATAAGTAAAAGCTAAGAAAGCAATATTTTTTAATTTTCTCGTGACACTTTCACTTCCAAGAGCTGGAGCAGCTAAACTGTTTAGTTGTTATAATAACGAGCCTAAATTGCAATACTCTTCGATAAATATTCTTATTTAAATGTTCGAAAAATCGGTTAAACGTAATAACATGAAAGTTGTATTTAGTAGGCATGCTTGTAACTGCTACTAGATTGTGATCATTATACATCGAACTCTCTTTTTACGCGTTCACTCTTTACACTATTTTTAAAGAACGTGATCCACCAATATGAACAAATACATTTTTTTACACGAACTTTTTGCGGGTAGCACGAATCTCAAAAAAAAAAAAATTGTTTTCATACCCTACGTCAGCCTGTCTGTCCATGTAATTAATTCTCATGTAACTTTTTGTTCATGCATACAGCAATTGTTAAAATATTTTGATAAAATTTGGTGTAGTAATATGTTTTGACCCAAGGACGAACGCTATTGCAAAAAGGTTCGGATCGGTCTACGTTTTCGACCACTCCCCATATAATGCCCTATTCTGAAAAGTCGTTATCTGAAAAAAAATTGCAATCTTCAAAATTTCTCGGCAAAAGTGGCTAAGTACTGGTAGTATTTGAACATTCTCAACTGGTACGAAAACTCTGGCCCGATTAGAGCAATTTATGAACTTCGTCATATAATGAAAACTCAAGTTCATACGACAAAAGGATATAATTTTCAATGCGTCATACTGAAAATTATATCATAATAGTAATTTAACACAAAAAAATTAATTGTATCACATTTGGACCACCTGGGCACAGTTTTTGGATCCTATACTTATAAGGATTTTCATGAAAATTGATTCTTTGTAGAGCAGAGTGTTTCATAATAAAAATAAGAATTGTATTAGACAATGTGGTGTAGGTTTAATGATCGGCCTTGCCCAACTAGAATGTTCTTACTTATTTTACTCTTTTATAGGACGACTGTGACGGGTATAAAAGACTTGATTGTAAACGAATGTAATTTTCTTACTTACTTTTCTTCTCTTTAATTTTTGAGACAAACATCTCTGTGGTTAATGAGTTATTAACTTCTCCTAGAAAGTAAGTTGTTTTAAGAATATGCAGTTGTTTAAGAATATGCAGTTTTGCGTCACATCGATCGCTTTAATAAGCGGAAAAATTTACGTTACGTATCTTAAGGTCTATTGAAAAAGCAATTTAAATGATTTGTAAAGTGCATACTAAAGCTTTATATCATTTCATAAATAAAGAGGAAGAAAAGCAAAAAGTAAGAAAATCATATTTGATGCTAACCGAATCCCTTATATTCCGCCCCGCGATTCTAGAAGATATGGAAGGAATTATGTTTTCATATTGGGTGGGATTGGGTGATTTTTTCTATTTTCAGAATAAAAGTGGAAATTTATATGTGGTATATGTTATACTCTATGTGTAATAAGTGTAAAATCCGGAAAAGAAAGACGTTCACAGTTTTTATTTTTCTAGGCATGTGTTGCTTGTTTGGGTCCTTTTCAAGTTGTCTTGCAAGTCTGTAGGCGATACACAATTACTGCACATTTGCTAAAACGGCCTAGTGGTCGGAATATGTGTAGAAATTTTTGTAGATTTATCTGCCGTAGTTTATGAGTAATGAGCGAAAAACCACTTTTTTATTTCTTTTGAAAAACAGAGGTGTTCTCCGTTTTGTGTGGTACTGCAGGCGTTTCCATTTGCCGATTTGGCCCATTTTCAATACCAGACTGTGTGTGGAAAGAGACAATGTTTTTACTAAACTTGAAGTCGGTCGAAGAGTCCCAACAACACACACCACACGAACAGATGGGCATGGCTTAATTGCTTCAGAATTTGATGCTGATCATGAAGTGAGTTCTATGAAGCTTGCTTCTGGGCATTGCGAACGTTTTGACAATGTGAACAAACTCTTCATCCTTCGTTAAGGAATATAAAAGCTTTAAATTCGGTTGAATAATTTTGTAAACCTAGCAATAAATTGTATATCGATATGAATACAAATAATGAACAACCTAGGAACGCCAAACTCGTTTATACGTTTTTTCTTATTTTTATTATTTTTTTTTTATTAACTATATTTTAATAATTATTTTTCTGGTCGACTTTTCTTAGGTTTTGAGAAACTCCAGGACAACTTAATATACGTTCCTTAGCATTTTTCAAACTGGTAACAAATTGGTTCAGTGCCGCGATAGCGCAACTATTATCTTTTTTGGCATTTTGAATATCAATTGAAATTTCTTCAAAGGCCTCATCAGTTTTATACAATTGCTTCTTAAACTTATACAAACAGTATTTCGAAGGCCGTAATAAACCATACACTTGACTTAGGGAAGCGGTGTCCTTGCATTGATCATGCGCACGTAATAATTTTGTCGTTAGCCTAGCGATATCATCCGCTTTATAAACGATATCCATGTAATCGTTCATAGTGTTTGGATCATCGCATAATTCCAAGTCCATGATCAAATCTCCAATGGCATCTTGAATGTCGGGAATCACTTCCGATACGCAATGTAGGCCCAAAAAATTCTGTTTACCAGGGTCTACTTTTTCCTCACCATTTATGGCGAGGAGATTAATGCTGATTAACATCACAATTCCAATTTTTTTATTCATTTTATTTTTCCAAACTTTAATCGGTTGTATATAATTTAAAAGTCTTACTTTAATTAATGTTCGTTTCATTTATGCAGGCCTTTTTTATACATCGCAGAAAACTCGAGAAAGTTTTCTAAAACGTATTACGATATATGGAAATCTAATTAGAAATTTTATATTTATTTACTTTGATTTTCAATTACATACTACTTGATGTTGTAACGATATTGCTTTTTCAACTTTTCAATTACCTTTCGTTATCAATTTGAATATGATTACATTTACCCCCGCAGGTCTGCTACACATGAAAAAATCAATTTCGACTTCAGTTCACACCTTTAGATTGGTTTTAAAGCTCATTACTTCCTTTACAATTCGAACTAGCGACATAGGTGTGATTAGCTTGATTAGGTGAATCGATTGTCTGCTGGAATCATGAATATGATTCCAAAATATTATGTGAAAGAATGTAATGTAGTCTCAAACTCGCCCTTCTTATCCTCATCATCAGATTAATTTCAAAAATGACGATTATACGATAGAATTAATCTTTTTTTCATTTGTTTTGTTCATGTCTAGTTTTTTTTTTATGATTTTTTCACCCACCCTCTAGTATCTATGTACACGGTTTAGGTTAGGGAGAATCTTTGCTATTTACAAGCTTTTACAGATTACATATATATATAAATCTTAAATATCTGCATTCTTCCATCAGGTCGTCATGTATCCAAACTAAATTTTGAAATGGAGCCCGTACTGCCCGCGACTACATCCAAAATAGTTAAGAAGTGACGCTGCACTATGGCCGATTAATTGTGCATAGGGTCGCTGAAATTCTTGAAAATAGCGAGAAAGATCAGCACATCTCGTCTTATAACGTGGTTTGTTAAACTATGTATTGATCAAATCAATCAGTTTTGAATGACTAGATATTTGTATACGATATGAACAGTGAGAACTGCAACGGATCAAATTTTCGGCTGCCAAAGAAATCGAGACACCATTAATGAGATTCACACTAATAATCACAATAATATATGAATAAAATTGCGGCTCAGATTGATGTCATCGCACAAGGTATTGTTTTTTGGATGATCGGATTACAAGCGAATTGTGCATGATAAGCCATTTCGATACGAATTAGATGAGTGGGTGCACTCGCTACAGTTCGCAAAGTTCGCAATAGAGCTACAGCGTCTAGAATTAATAAATAGAAAAGCAGCAGCGTCTACCATCGCGTCATTCTTATATTGAGGACTTATTATCTGCCTAAAAGTACGTTCGTACTAAAATAAATATGGCGGACATCATGGCGTGGTGAATTAATTGTTTCTTAACAATACCGTTGATATGGGTATCAAATAAACGGACTCGGAGAGAAGAATCCGACAAGCTATGTGTCTTAATACTAAATTAATTATAGTCGACGGCACGAGGTGTTGGATTAATTTTCCCATAGCAATACCATGTAGTGAAGTAAAAGGTGAGAGATAAATTTTATCCCTTTTAATTTTTTAAAAACGGTAAATAAATATATGACACGCTAAAGTTCTAACTTGTTAGTTTCTTGATAAATATTTATACCGCACCAAGGATCGTAACTGGATATACCCGACTTGTGAGTGGTGTTTACCATCGACCTCGCTATGCGGCAAGTCCAGCATAATTTCTTATATGAAATGGTTTACTGAATGTAAATTAAAACAGTATAGTCGCCGATGACCGACCACTAAATACCCTACACTGCTACGTTTAATGCAGTTATTCATAGAACGAGTTTTTAAGGCAACACTTTTTATGGGAAGTGGTCCAATCCCAGCTACTTTCAAGAACGTTCATCCCTGAAATAAATTTCATGAAAATATCGTAGAAATTGCGACCTGCAGACATCGGACGAACAGGCAAGATTTGTACAGATCGATATAATAAAAGGTGTGCCTATCTTAAGCGCTTCTGGATGTTACATATGTCCGCACAAACTAAATATACCATTGTACGATAATTGCCCGAGACTAAAACAAATGCAACCACATTATGCTAAGAGAGCGAATGAAAATCAATTCATCACAAATTACAAAACGATCAATAAAGCGTATATCGACCCAGATAAAAATAATAAGACGAGACGTGAATTTGAAATTTCATTTAAGAGCATTGTCACCTTCTCTTCAATATTTTATTCAGAATGTTAATAATTATTTTATTAAAATTGCATTAGCATATCTAGCATATGTACATTTCAATTATTTATATTTCTTTTATTTGGGGGGTTTGCTTGCCGCTCGGGAAACTGCGGCACATGCTAGCATATATTGATCGAAATTATTCACGCTGGCAGCGAATTTCGTCATTGCTATGACAGGACAGATATATGTTGTTTTAGTCTTCTTGATTGCCTGTAAAATGTCTTCGAAGAGTTCGCTCATTCGCTGCAATTCCTTTGTAAAACGTTCCACACATGATTTGGAAGGTTTCAACGAACCATCCCAATCTGCCATGGAGGCAGAGTTTTTGCAAACTTCATCATTCACTTCTAATAATTTTGAAGTTTGAGTGGCAACATCATTTGCTAGTTGAACGATTACTAAATGATCATTGGTTGCGTTCGAGCCTTCACATAAAGTTAGATCGTTACTAAAATCACCAGCGGCATCTTCAATCTCGAGACTCATTTCTGTTACGCAACGCAAACCCCAGTTAGTTTGATTTATGGCTTCAATAAGCTTATCAACTTGAATCTCCTCCGGGTCAGCGTTTATGGTGAGGAGATTAATGCAAATTAGTAATAGAATTCCAATTTTTTTATTCATTTTATTTTCCCAATCGGCCCGCTAATCGAAAAGTTTTACTTTAATCAATGCTCGTTTCAGTTATGCAGGCCTTTTATATAGCACAAAAATGCTCATTATTTCCCTATGAGTTATAGAAATTTAATTAAAAATTTCACATTTATTTACTTTGATTTTTAATTTACTTACTATTTGCATAATGCAGTGAAGATGTTGCCTTCTTTTAATACCCATTCCTTATCAATATATTAATATGATTACACTTCCGTTACATTTTTGTTACATTTCTGTTAAGGCTTTAAATTATTTTCGCAACATTTTTCAGAACACGCTATGTTGTCTCATAATGTTTTCAGATGAGTGCAACACCGACTAAAGATTTGTATTCCAACTCCCTATAATCCTATTCAGTGTGAAATTCTGAGTCTGTCTATCGCCTCTTATGTAGATTTCAATTCTGGCCAAAAATTGATTTACGCCTCAAATTCGACAATAGGCATAGGCATGATCGCTACTGATTAGTCAACTAATTTTTATATTCTACACTAGGGTATATTAAGCTTTTGCAAACGTATGTAACGTCCAGAAGGGCTTAAGATAGATTTATAGTTTATTGCATCGACCGATTTAGAAGCATGGAAGTATATCTATAAAATAAATAGGTTTGAATGGCTGATGTACATCGTCAATAGACTGAAAATTTTTATATATGAAAGCTTGGCGCAAACGAAGAGAGAGCCCCATAAGTCACATCTGATAGCATGCTCTACGATATATCACAGCAATAAAGTTGAGTTTTTGAATCGATCCGTGAACGTGAATAAAAGATGAATCCTTTGCTTCATAACTGGGACGCAATAACAGTCAAACCAATGAACTGAGAGGAGAGGAATGACCCTAAAGAGTTCACAGCTTCAGCTTTTTAAGATGCGTTTGGAATAATTTCGTTTCATCAAATCAATGGCAAACATTCACATTGACGAAGAAAAAGAAAGTGACGCTATATCGAAGAGATATCGTACAAATATTATCGCGAACAATCGACAAGTTAAGATTCGAATTGTTACCTCGCGTATGCTATTTCAGATTTAGCTTTAGCCTGATCGGGCTTTTTCTCTCTTCAAACTCATAAAAATTGCTGAATTGATGAAGGATTTGGGGTACGTTCTAAGGACCTTGGAGGAGGTTTTCTTTATAAATGAGAAGAAATCCAACTAAAAGAAGACTACTTTTTCTAAATTTCTGTATCCTTTTTGTATCCGATGAAATGGTTCTGGGAGTAGCATCGTATTTCTGCGCAATCTTTTCTTTTTTACCAACAATGTTATATGAAAGAATTTTACCCTGAACCGTTTATGGTTCAGGGTGTATTAAGTTTGTGTCGACTACACCGATCGATTCAGAATTACTTTCTAAGCTGGTGTGTCCGTCTGCTCGGCGATCTATTCATCTGTCCGTTTGATCTCTGTCCATGTACTTTTGTCTTCGATCACTCCCCATAGAACGCCTTATTTTTATAAGTCGTTATTATGAGTCGATCTAATTTTCTCCGTCCATCTCTACCTCTGATGTCTGTCCATGTATTTTTGTGTTCAATCTAAAGGTCGCAATTGTACAGATATTTTGATGAAGTTGGATACACTGACATCTTTTGGCTCAAGGACGAGCTCTGTTGAATATGCTTCGGATTGCACCACTTTCTTGGCTACTCTCCATAGAACACCTTATTTCGATAACGCGTTATAGGAAAAAGTGTTCTAATTTTCAAAACTTCGTGACAGCAATCGTCGAGTGGTAGTATTTAGGATTGGCTGACGTCATTTTTTGAGCCCCTTGTCATACCACCTTCCCTACGGAAACTAAGTCTTGATTTAGTAAACAGACCTGATTTCCAATATTCGTTGATGAAAATCCGTGCATATCGATAATTTGACATAAACAACAATCTTAGCGAACTTCAACAACGTATCTGGATCCTGCCATATAAAAAGCTCTTTCTGAAAATAAGTCTTTATGCGGCAAAGATATTCAATTTTTGATATTTTATGACGAAAATTGGTTCGTAAGAATAACTGGATAAAAAATTTGGACCAAGCGCAACTTTAGAAGCAACCACCTAAAGGGGTTATCATGGAAAGCAAACATTCCTACGACGACAAAGTTTAACTTGTAGTTTTTGATGACGAAAGCGAGCGGATATTACGAAAATCTTTGACAAATAAATTGATCATATATCTTGACGTTTTCGGCCTTCACTTTCTTCTTATACCTTCACTTTCTTCACAACATTTAATGTATCAACACGAAAATAAATGAAAGTCTGTATTAAGTGAAGTGATGTAGAGTGTCTAATAGTCGGCCTTGCCTGACTTGTAGGGTTCATACAGTCTTGCTTTTTTTTGTTTTTATAGAAGTTAATATTTGCCTATCAGACAGTTAACGCCTATGTAAACTATATCGATGAGATCAGTTCTTGTGGTCGGTCTGTGGTCAAGCAATAACAAAATCGAAACTTTAGCAGGCGCTATACAGCAACGTTAGATAAGCAGCCGCTTATTGATTGCCTATAGAAATATGAATCTATGTCAACTTGAATCGCAGAATCGATTAAGGTACCCTAGTTGCATGTCTGTCCATCTGATTGCTTTGATAGCGAACGAGTTTGTCCGTAAACTTTGACGGTTTTAAGAGCGAAAACAAAAGTTTCGATCCACCGATTGAATGCAATCTCTTCCTTAACCTTCGCACTATTTTTTTTTCTTGCATAGTTCTATTGACAAAATGCCAGACTGGGTGATGGATGCAAATTTTCTTTACTATACTAACAAATATACAATAAGGTGAGGGTGGAAATTTTCGTAACTTTTAACAATTTATTCTGAATACAATTTCAAGTTGAACTGTAAAAGTTAACTTACGCCATTTTATTATTATTTATATTACAATTATTGCATATTTTATTGCATTTCATTTGTTGAATTTTTCGGCCACTTCGGCGCATGCTTGCAAAAGTCCCGTGAAATTATCGAGTTTTATTACGTATTTGCCCATAGCCATAAGGGCACAAACATTGCTTTCACCAGCCACTAAGATTTCGTTTATTGTTTCCTCTATAACAAAATTCATTTTATTTAAGTGTTTTTTGAACTTTGTCAGGCATTCGCGTGAGGGAATTGTGCTACCATTCCAATCAGGAAGATATTGATGATTATCACAATCAAGTTCATTGACAACCAGTAGTCTATCCGTAATTCTATTTATAACATCCTTAGTATCAAGGATGTCTGTGAAGTCATCTACTGTGTACGGATCTTCGCAGAGTTCCAAGTCGTAAGCGAAATCACCAGCTGCAGCACTAACATCGACAATAACTTCGGACACGCAGTGCATACCATAAAAATTTTTAATGGCATTATTAACAAGCTCATCAAATGGTGTCTGCTGCATTGGTTTTGCACCTATTGCAAGGATATTAATGCATATAAGCACTAAGATACGAATCATTTTAAACCTTTCTCGCTTTCAAATCGATCAATACCGGGAATACTGGATAATGAAAATGTTACTATTTAATTAATAAAGTTCGCATTATTGCAAAGTCTTTTATAGCAAAAAAATTGCGAATAGTTTTCACGAGACATTTTCTATTCAGACTTATGGCAAATTAATTTTAAATGAAAAACATCTTGTATTTATTTTATTTACTCTTTATTATTTGTTAAATACGAAATTAATTTTCCAATTATTCTTATCAATTTTAATTAATAATTTTAATTAACTTTGAAATATTTACGTGCATCTGTATATGGGATCCATACGTTCATTGTGAGTTGACGTTCACTGAAAAGTATTTAATGCTTTTAGTTTTAGGGAGTTTTCCATATTCCAGCGTTAAGTAAAATTGTAGTTAAGGCGGGAAATTCATTGTGATAGCTTAGAAATAAACAAAAAAAAAAAAATTTTTTTTTTTGCCTTTTTTTTTTTTAATAATAATAATATGTTAAGCATATGTTCAAGTATAAAAAAAAGGGAATATTTCTTAAAAAAAAAAAATACTAAGAAATGACAACAGCAGAGGTATGTCCAGGGCAAAGCTTCTTTAAATTAAAGGACTCTGCGCCGTTCAGTGTAACTAACAAAAACGAAAAATAGAACACTTGATCTACATTCGTAGCTGGCGCTTACTTGAATAGAAAAGTTCACCTTTCCATCATAACAGAACACTTGATCTACATTCGTAGCTGGCGCTTACTTGAATAGAAAAGTTCACCTTTCCATCATAACAGAGGCAATCTCTTGTTAATGCCTAAGGTTTTTATTAACATTTTAAAAGTCCTCTACGCACTTTTTTATATGGAATTTGAATTTAAAGGAATGAAAAAAAAGTACATTAAGTTTGTGCGGACGAACGGACTTGGGATAGATCCATCTTTTCTAATATACCGATCGATTCAGAGTCATTTTTTCAAGCGATTTAGGTTTGTCTCTTCCGTCTATAGTCTATCCATGTACTCTTATACTTAGCCTACAGATCGCAATTTTCAAGTTATTTTCATAAAACACGTTATGAACGTTAGTTTTCGAGCATTTCCCATATAATGGGTAACTCGTTATAGGGAAAAAAATTTTAAATTTTGTAGAATTTCGCAACAAAAATCGCTTACTAATACTATGTAATTTTTTAACATCTGTGCCACACAATCGTTCCTAAGCAAACTGAATTTTTATATGGTAAAAAGGCCACAATTTTCCATATTTCTTGATGAAAACTCATTCAAGATACTACCGATTAATGAATTTGGACCATGTAGATCTATTATTTTCATCTCATCCCATTTAGGGACTGCAAGGAAAAACAGGGCTTTATATGTCAATTTTTATTAATTTAGAAATTTTCTACGAAAGTTTTGTAATGTGTGATCTGTAAAATCTCTCCGAGAGTGTACCTCTTATTTTCTACCTTTTTCTGTCTGATTTTTCTTGAATTGTAATTCTCATGTCAAAAACTACGAAAGGCTGAGATGGATTGACGGTAGGACAGGTCAAAATATATATAATTTGTGGGATTATGATAATATTAAGCTAAGTGATGAAAACAGGAAGGGATAAGGACGACTGTTGAGCATGCTGCACCACATAATCTAAAACAATTCCTCGCTTATTTTTTTCATGGACAGACATTAAACAGACAAATGGACAGACATGTTTAAAACGATTTCTATTAGGTTATTATAAGAAGCTTTCCTGGATGTTGTATACATCCGTACAAACTTAATATTCCCTGTACCGTGAGTGACAGTGAGGGTCAATCTTTTGGATGATGAATAACCTATACATATATATATACATATATAATTTATAATGTCTTTAATCCGTATTTTCGGGTGTTGTCAAGTAAATAAAAAACTAATAGACTCACATCTACCGGCAATCGATATAACAATCTGAAAATCTCTGCGGTACAATTATCTTTGAATGAATTGACGATAACTGAAAGTGTTGTAAATAAAAGTCTGAATTGATTATATTCGTATAAGCACGTTTATGATGGTTATAATTTCAAGTGATTTAATTGATAGTGAATCGAAGATAACGTAACAAACTTTGTTGAACCCACAATTCTTTAGAATTCGATACTTTGCCAAGTTTCAGTTGATTGGAGTATAAAAGCCGATATTAGCTTGAGAAAGTTTGCAGAGTGAGTGCGGAACTTTATTTAATTTATTAAAAGACTTTTTCTTGAAATCAATATGAAACTAACACTAGTGATTGCTGTGATGGCTTCGTGCCTTTTCCTTACCTGCGTACGTTATAAAATATATCCTTGAACTATTAAGTATTAAGATAAGCGCTTCACATTGATATGATGATAATTTATTTCAGGTTACGGCGAATGCCGACAATTATGACAAATCTCAAGAATTCGAAGATCCGTCAGTTAAAGGCTTTGTAGGTTCAGTTGTTTGGTTTTTCAAAATGATACTTCAAACGTTACGTGGTGTGAATTGCACTATCAAGGGCGCTATTATGGTTATTGAAAGTTCGGAAACGATGATTGCTGATATTCAAGATTGTAGAGTGGCGTCGTCTAAAGAAGTTGAAGCTGTCATCGACTCGGCTGAAGAAGTTATTCGTATCGCAAATAATATTCTCCACATTGGTGAAAATGTTTGCAATATTCCCGATGGGGCTGAAGAAACAGATCCTGATCAAGTACCGCCTTTGATGTGTACAAAACTTTTACTGAAGGAAGTGATCGCATTAAACAATCAGATCGGTTTAACTATAAAACTAGTCGGAATGGTTCCAGTAGATGCTGGCGACTGCGTTACCACAGCGTTATATACATACCGAAATGAGATTGCTGGATTTCCTACCTTTGTGAAAGAGTGCTCTAACCGTAGACAAGAAAATTAAATAAATTTAAATTTCTTACATAAATAAGGTCTTAGTGTAAATGTTAGCAATAAGAGCAGTTAAGCAAAACTTTAATTCCCGTATATTCAACAAGTTTTCAACACTGATCACATCAACCGAATTTAATAAGTATTGAGTCTGACATGAGGATACGAAATGACTGATGGGGGGATAAGTATGAACAGTTTGGGCTCCTAACGGCTTTCCGAATTACTTGATACTAAATCAAATAAGTGAGATGAGTAGTAACTTTCTGTCAATTGTTTCAATCATTTAATATTACTTATGGATCGTAGCCTCCATTCATAAAAGGTGGAGGTGTTTTTAATTTTCCAACAATTGTTAGCAAATTTTACATCTTTTTATACCCATCACCGAACGCTGTGAGATATATTCATTTCGTCAAAGCATTTGGAATATCCGTAAGATATGGATTTCATGTTTAGCACAAACATTGGAAACTTCTTGTACGCTAAAGTACTTGAAAAAAGAGAAAGGACAAAATCGACCACGCCTACTCGATATTATAGTGGAAGAAAATTTTATTTTTTTATCACATCCTGAAAAAGCCCATAAATTATAGATATATTTGGCTAGTGTCGAATTTGGAACTCACCTAAGGCTGTCCATCCGTCCATCTGCACTTTAGCTTAGGGCAAACATGAAGATATCGTCTACAAATTTGTAAAAGAATTTTTAAATGACCTAAACAGGTTAAAGAACACGCCTACAACGTTTACATCGCCTACATACGTATGCAACAATAAGTGAGAGCAGTTTTGCTTTCCATGTGTACAAGACTTACATCATACTCTTACGGTATCGATACCTTATCAAAGATCTTTAATCGGGCGAAAGCTAAAATACTCGACTGTTGTTTGGGTTCTCAGTTATGGGTGCAATGTTGATCTACTTGAGTGTGTTCAATATGATTTCGTATTATTTGCCTCAAGTAATTTATGATGGGATCTTCCTCTAGCCTATAAAAATAGGTTGAGAATTTATCCGTTTAATTGCCGTTGCTTGAGAAAAGACACATAACGTTAGAAAGGTTAAAGTTCATATTTCCTTCGTTAACTCGGCTTAAAAAAGCATAATATTATAGGGCTAACTGCTGGACTTTATCTGTGAGCGAGACAGCGACCATCACCTCTCTTTTCTTTCTGTACTTCTTTCTTACCGTCACTGGTCATAGTAAGAAAAAACAAAAACTTGGTATAATAAACTTTCCTGGACGTTGTATACATCCGTACAAACTTAATATATGTTGCACCACGAGGGGCGTGCAGTTAATTTAGGGCGGATCTTTCGAATGATGAACAACCCTTGAATACATATATAATGCATAGCGTCTTTAATGCGTATTTTGGAATAAAAAATTAATAGACTCGCAACGTCCCGGCGATCGGTATAACAATCGGAAAATCTCTAGAGTATAATTATCTTGGAATCAATTGTTGATAACCGCAAGTATTGTAAATAAAAATTCTAATCGATTATGTACGTGTTAGTGCGTTTATGGTCTTTATAATTTCAAGTGATTTAATTGATAGTGAATCTAAGAGAACTTAATAAACTTTGTTAAACATACACTTATATGGAATTTAATAATTTTCCAATTTTCAGTTGATTGGAGTATAAAAGTCGATATTAGCTTGCAAAAGTTTGCAGAGTGAATTCGGAACTTTATTTAATTTATTGAAAGATTTTTTATTGAAATCAATATGAAGCTAACACTAGCGATTGCTGTGATGGCTTCGTGCCTTTTCCTTACCTGCGTACGTTATAAAATATATCCTTGAACTATTAAGTATTAAGATAAGCGCTTCACATTGATATGATGATAATTTATTTCAGGTTACGGCGAAAGCTGACAATTATGATAAATCTCAAGAGGTCAGAGATTCTTCAGTTAAAGACTATGAAGGTCCAGTTGTATTTTCTTTCAAGGCGAGACTTCAAGAGTGCGCAATGCGAGGTGCCTTCACCGTTATGGAAAATTCGGAGAAGATGATCGCTGATATTGAAGATTGTAGGGTAAATTTATCTGAAGAAGCCGAGGCTGTCACTGAATTTGCTAAGGAAGTTATTCACATTACCAAAAATGTTTTCTCCATCTATAAAAGTTGCGATTACTCTATAGCCCCGGAACAGCCCAATCATGTATCACTTTTCGAGTGTATCCGAGCCTTATTGGAAGAGATTAAAGCATTATATAATCAAATCGGGTTAACTATTCAATTAATCAAAAAGGTTCCCGTAGGTGCTAACCAATGTGCTACCATAACATTGTGTAAATATCGGGATGAACTAACTGGATTCCCCAGATTTATGGAAGAGTGCTTTATGCGTAGACAAGAAAGTTAAATAACTTTAAATTTCTTACATGCAAGTGATCTTGGTATAAATAAATGTTAGCGATAAGAGCAGTTAATAAGTTCAGATGAAAAAAGCCATGAAAATCTGCGTATGGTGGCCGATCATATCCATGTAACCACAACCCGGTAGCAGTAGGTTTAAGTGTCAAGTCGTTGCTTTTCAATAATTTTCATTATTAAATATTAAAAATTAAGACCTGTTTTCATATAAAGTCTTATACTTTATACTTTGTATAAATATTCACTTAGGTGTGTAAATGTAAGACTCTCCTCCTAATACCTACATATATCATAATCGAAAAAGAATTGTTTTAAAAATGAAAATGCCGAGTTTTGTGCCCAATAAACAGCATTCACCAGCAGCAGCAACAATAGTTTCTTACTTGGAAAGTGAATCCGTATTGAAAATCGCAGGCGTAAAAATTTATGAATAAATTCAGACGTACCGTCAACTGTCGACTGTCAGACTAAATCGCTTTGACAAGAAGACGATATTCTATGTCTGGAGGGACCAGAGAAATGTGCTGTGAGACTTAAATTTAAAAAAAGCCAACGCGTGGCCATACAGGCCGTCCCTCTATCCCTTCAAAGTGGTTTGCGATACATTGCAAATACTCGAGGGGAAAGTGCTAGGCAACGCTGATCTGATTCACCAAACTCGAGTCCTTCTCACTATCACGTATGTGCGTCGATGGGGCAGGTATTTGCTTTAGGCAGTAACTTAACCTTTTACGAAAATGCGCGAAGCGCCTGATTTGCCTTAAAAGAGCAACTGTTCCTTTTTTTGATGTTCCATCCATAAATTGCCGGACAATTGGGGGAAATCCTGCTGGCAAATATTTTTTTATCATTTTCATACAATAAATGTGTATTTTTTACACGAAGATTCCCGTTCCATATATACGTATGTGCGGGTTAAGAAATTATGCTTCGGGGCGGGGTGCGGATTTCGCGCCGTGCCACAATTCTCACTTCTTCGTTGTGATCCTGGGCAACCGACATTAGATAGGCGAAGAAGAGTTTAATCTGACAGCATAGGTAGCTTGGGAGCTGAATAGGAAAAAGTTTCGCGTTCTTTATGAAGGAGCATTTTTTTTCTTAAAAGGCCGCCGTTATGGAGAAAATACAAACTAGCTGAGGAGAAGCAACTAGATTTTAGAATACTGACAAATAGTTGATAGTCGAGAACATGGAGCAGGCCATCTAAGTTATTTTCTGCCGACATATATATATATATATCTTGGAGAAGGATAGCTTGAATTTGCTTAACCAGGACCGTATGGAAGCCAGAGCGACTACAGTCACGCAAACTAATTCTAAAGATTTTATTGTCTAACTGTAAATACCAACAGGATCAGGGTATATTACTAAGAGGAACCTTCTTCTGTGGGTAATCTAAGTAGTTCTGATAGTGAGTTCTGACTGTTCGGTGCAATCCTTCGGCGAGTATCGTAGTGGCTGTTTGGTGGTTTTCAAACATCATCAAAAGCAAATAATTGGAGGTAATGATAGGCCTTACCAATTCCCAGATTGATCTGGTGCTCCAGGCATAGCGGGGTCCCTTGCTTATCGCGATTGTGTCACTCTCTGAGAGACGCCAGTTCACGCTTAATTAACCTGTTGCGTGTACGAACATCGTGAGACTAAACCTTGAAGTAGGTACTGACGCTAAACCACTCTTACATTGGTAGTATATACTTGATATATGTAGGGAGAGATTCAAAAGTTGACAGAATATGTCAATAGATGAAATTTTATCAAATATTTTCATTACCATGATATATATCAAAAAATCAGACAGGCAGGAAGACAGACATCCTTAAATCGATTCAGAGGATATAGGGTGTATGTGCAACAGATTTATATTTGGCTAAGCGGCAGAGGATATCTAATGGTGGGTCTTGATCGCAAAAAGTATTTCGAGTTGTTTGACTTTTGTGTTTCAACGACGAAAAGGGGAATACGTTAAAGGCTATGCTGCACGAGCTTTTGTGGGCTTTCTCGCACGTGTATTAGGTATCAAGCAATAGAAAAATATTAAAGAAGTTGTCTGTTCATAATAATCGTAACGTCTGAGAGAGGAAGAGAAAGAGATAGAGAGATTTCACGCGAAAGAATTTTTATTGATGGTTTTAACATGAAAGGGACGGCATCGAAATATGTCCTAAAATTATTAAATTGCTCAAGACGGGACGAATTGATAAACTGGTTAACATTAATTAATGGGATCTATCGTAAAGGGGTTGCAAGGGATATTAACGATGAAACTTATCTGAAATTTAGTAAAATTAAATATTCCCGTTATATTTTGATCAAATCACCTATATCCTTAGCGCATATGCAACGATCGCAGCAATTAAAATAAATTGAGAAAATAAATATTTTTGAGAAGAAAAGATAGCTAAAGATATTCGTAAAAGTTATACCAATAACTAAAGACCGATATTTAGTTTAAGTGTCTATGAGAATTATCCAAAATTACGACATTAAGGGAAGTAAAAGTTTTAGGATTCAGGCTAAGGTTTATCTATTACCATAAGTGGAAATCGTATAATTGAAACTTGACCAGAGATGGGCGTGCCAATTAATAAAATAAGCGAGAATAATTTTTATTTTCACTTTCGAGCGGGAATTTAAACTTTTGCTAACAGCTACTATGTAAGAGACTTGCAATTAGAAATTTTTTTCGAATTTTTATAGCAGCCTCATAGAAAACAATTCGGGAATGCACAAAGCCAAGGAAAGATTTTCTTTTTACAGGACAAATTCTTTCTATTGTCCTATTAAAACATATCCCCAATGTAGTTGAGTTCTACTATTGTGCTAGAGATTTATGTTGATAGAGTTCATCAAACTTTCCCTATTACTTATATATAGCGCAAAAATTCCTTTGAAAAACGAATCCAATATAATATCGATTAAAGTTTATTGAATGAATTCCTTGCCCAGCAATGCTTAAACTAAGTTGAACAGGCGTCATGTAAGTCCGCAATTTGTAGATTTTCAGCAAACGAGACCAAAATATTAGCAGCGCACATTCCGTTACTTAATTTTAGATATGCACCATCGCCCGAAATGATGAACATTTGTTTTATCATTTTAGTAATTCCTACCGTGAAAGTCTCTGCGCATTTTGCTTTATTCGTCTCACATACATTTTGGTGGGCAAGCTGCAGATCTTTACCAATGTGTACAATTTCTTGCGCAGCTTCGACTATATACTTAATATATAGCAATGATCCATCGTGACAAACCATAACATCGAGCAACAATTTCTCTGAAATTTTTACGAGCGTATAAACGATTCCTATAACACAATCATTATTGTACACTGAAGTCAGGGCGTCGTTTAAAGGTTTTTCTAGTGCTTTTAAATTGTTTTGTAAATTTTCAATTTTAAATGCCTCAGTCACATTCCCGTATGCCTCTTCTGCGGGCTTTATTATTGGTTCTAAATTTTCATTCATTTTATCGGGGGAAAATTCCTTGAGCACTTCGGTACCTGCATCTTCCAATGGCTTTTTCACAGTTTCGAAAGTCTCTTTCAAATTATCCGAACTAAACGCATCGCTCAACTCGGCACCAGCCTGTTCAAAAGGCTTCACAAGTGAACCGAAAAAGCCTAATCCACTAGGAACGCTGGAACATGTCTATCAGGAAAAAAAAAAAAAAAAAAAAAACATAAAATATTTTATTATAAAATGAAAATAGTTTTGTAATAAAAGTAATGCGCACGCTCTCTAAAACGCCTGAGGCCAGGACCACAAAACAGAGCGCTGTTAATTTCATTATTGCAATCAGAAAACTTAATGTTTCACTTATTGTGACGCTACCACGTTTTAATACAAAATTTGCTTGCATGCCCCTTACGATAAAAAAAAAAAAACTGCCCGTATAGATGGACAACTTTTGTGAGTAGTGATTTTAGTGTTTTTGAAAGTGATCACACTTGTGAACGTACTTGAAGAATCTCGTGTTTTGTCACAATGCAATACAAACATACATATTTACGGCAAGTATATATATAACTTTTCCCATCCGTCATCGTTTATGAATAAAAGTATGCTGGCTTCGTCTATCCATTGGGAACATTCGGAAATTGCGTATCAAAAAAATCCTATGAAACAACAATGATTTACTGGCCTGATAAACGAATTGCCAAAATGCCAAATGCCAATGCATTGGAATTTCTTTTCCAATGAAAGAAAGGCTTCGATTTGCCAGACTATAGTGAGCCTGAACTACAATCGATTGCCATCTTATTGACAAGTCTACCATACTGAAAAAATTAAGCAGGTTTTAGATCAATCATTTTAGATGACGGCTACGAAAGATTAGCTTCCATGTAAATGCACCTGTTGTAGGTGGCCCACTTGTCGTATTGCATGTCCTATTTTAAGTAGCGAACAGCTTGACATAAGTAAGACTCCTTCCTAAGCGAATATAGTTTGCTGTTTCTCTTATTTCTAGTGCCATCTTGTAGAGAGCGAACAACTTAAGATAAAGTTTTTGAATCGTTTTTCATCATAAGTATTTTGTTTACACAAACTATATAGGTTTATCTAAAATAGTCGACGACGTGTGACGCAAATCGTTTCTGGTATTAATTTAAGATTTCCAATTTGCAGTTATTTCGCCGCCCCGCCCCTTCGTTTGATGAATTGATATATCGGATGAGAAAACGCCTTCTTAAACATTCTTACAATACTTTGGATCAGAGGTGGGCAACTTTTTCCATCAACACGTCAATTTCAATTTTCCTATCAGGGCGGGAATCATGGCAAAGGTCGAACTATTGTTAAAGATGCGGCATTCCGCATCAATTTTTTCTTCTTTTTAAATCAATCGTTTTATGGCCTAATCGTCAAAAAAAGGAAACCATTGAACACATTTCATCTCACATTTAATATCTACGCAATTGAGCCGTTAGTGATTAGTTAAATGAGTACAATTCCTTTGCAGCATTGCTTTATGCGAGCAAATTGAATTATTTAAAATTTTAAACGTAACCGATAGAACTCGTTTATATCACGGGCCGGCATTTGCCCATGCCTGTTCTAAATATTTCAAAAAATAAATTCTTGCTTTTATTTATAGAATATTAGGAAATTTTTGAATTCTTTCCCAAGCACTCAGTAAAGGGCATTGGTTTTGGAAAAAAAGCCCTACTGGAAATTTACAGAGTAACGTCTTGTACTTGTCGGTTTGGAAATTCTCGAATTCAACTAATAAATGCCTCGAAAAAGTGTTGTTGATTGCAGGCTAATGATTGAAATTAATACAAAAATTTTCTATAATCCATTCCAAGTTTTAACAATAGAATTACCAACGTTTTGCATACATCAAGTTTTACTAAGACGTGGGTTAATTTGATACTAACTCTCTCTAAGCACTGGTCAACGTTGCAAAAAAGAAAATAACGCGCACACACGTATAGACAGGCAAGCTTAAATCGATTCAGAAATTAGTGACTAAATCGACCTATATAGCCAAAGATGGGCTTATCGTATGCACTTTTGCATGCTACACGCATATGCGCAAACATATGGGTACTTTGTACCTTATGTAAGATATAATGAATCGGAACGCAACTCAAGTTTAAGATTTCACATTTCGGGATGCATTTTCAACTTCGATTATGTCAAAATTTGCACTAACTATATATAGTCTTTGTACGTCCGTGTGCATATCTCTACTAAGCTCCACGCAAACAACAAAATAAAAGTTGGAGAGTGTTCTTTGTATTATCAGCAGAACCATCTCTCTCTCTCTCTCTCTCTCTCTCTCCGTCTCTCTCTTTCTCTTTCGTACGGGTTACGGAAAAACAATGGTGATATTCAGACAAATCAAAACAAGTAATATATGTAGTATGTAAATATAGATAGATATAAATATCATCCAAAACTTTATGAATTCGTCAAGCAGCTTAAGCATTCGATGTCTTGCGCATGCCTGACTCTTACATATTATTCATTGAGGTTGGGATCGGATACATTGGGGAAGGTTGCATACGAGAGGGTAATAAGATGCTTTTTGGGATGGGTTGTCTACTTTCACTCTTAAATTTTCTTGGCCGTGAGCGATGTTTCTCGCCAACACTCATCTAATACCCGTCATTGTCGTAATATTTGCAACAAACAGAAGAAATCTTCAGTGAGCCTCTTAAGTGTAAATATTCTTGATCAGAATGAAATTCTGAATCGATAAAGCCATATCTGTTCGCCTGTATGGTGCGTGTTATTGATCCTCTTCAGCTCTCTTCAGCACTTCGACCTGAAATTTTGGGAAGAAACATTGGTAGTCTCTGCACGCAAATTATTATTGAAAATGGGCCAAATTCCTCATAGCACATGTCTGCAGTAAAGCGTAAACTGAACGTAACTCCGTTCCCTTAAGCCAAATTTCTTGCATTTTTACTTATTATTCGCAAACTATGGAACTATGAAAGATAGAAGACTGAAATTTTCTTCGTTTACTATCATTTATATGGGGGAGAAAAGGAAATAATCGGCCATGCCCACGCACGATATTGTAGATGTAGAATCCGAAAAGCTAAATGTGTTAATCGGCCAAGCCGAATATAACTTTCTTACTTGTTGTTAATTACAGGCGAAATTGAAGGCGTAAGGATTGACGTCATTTTAAAATTGAGACCGGACAAGAGTAAGAATTCTTAAAATTCTTTAATATTGCGCAATGTTTCCAGTTGTGTAGGGAATCGTATCAAGGCACAAGGAGCTGCGAAATGCCAACTGAATTACATGGGATATGATCGGCCTTCTCTCACGAGCTCTGCATCGATTTACACTTAGTAGCTAATAAGCGAAATTTCTCAGCCAATATGTTATTGGAAAGGATCAATCATTTGCCGTGTGTTTCGGGTTCTGGGTGTTTTCAGTTGATATTCTAAAAAAGGTTGTTCTTTATTATTATCGAAAAAGACTCTTACAAATTTATATCATTAAAATTTAGTTAGTAGATGCGTATGGTTGGTGGAATACAGCTTTTTTTTTGTTGTTGTTGTGTTTGCTTATGTTTTGTTTTGTTTTTTGAACTATGCCCAGAAATCGCTATTACTGCAGTCACTCGTTTTAGATTGATCCTTTGGGCTTCTCTGCCCAATAGAGATTTGCTCTTCACAGCTGCCGATTGGAGATGTTCGACTTGAATCATTATTACCGGGAGAAAGAATTTCGACCGTTTCCATCATTTCAGGATAATCGTTGTCTTCTGGCGGACTTTCGTTTGTTTGAATTGCATCCAAATGCTCGGGATATATGTCAGAGTTTATATCATTTTTAGAAGCAGACATTTCAGGCTTTCCATTATTCGATACCATTGATTTTGAACTTTCGTTACTGGAACTGTTCGACTCCAAAATCGAAGGCACTGAAATATTGGAAATCTTGTCAGTCGCTTGCATTCTCGATTTTTCATCGCAAACATGTAATAATGGTCTTGGAGTATCATATATTGTTATCACTTTAGGAGATATTGCGTTCCCTGTTGTTGTCGTCGTCGTCGTCCTCGCCATTGTTGTTGTCGTTGTCATTGTTGTTGTCGTTGTTGTCGTTGTTGTTGTTGTTGTTCTCGTTGCAAAATCAATTACTACATTGACATTTAAATTTTTTGAAAAACTTTCGAAAACATCATCAAGCTGCTGCTGCTGCTGCTGCTGCTGCTGCTGCTCTTCTTCTTCGGCAATAACGTTGATCCGATAGTTTTGCAATAAATCGCTATTCGATCGTGTATCTTGTTCAAAAAGTTTTTTCATTTTGACCATTGATTGCTTTAGTACTTCCGAATTTGTTGTTGCGTAATTTTCGGCAGTAATTTGTGTCGCAAAACTTTTCAAATCCTCTAAAGCATTCTTCACATCCTCATTAGTTACTTTCGTCGGTTTACGTTGCCTCAATATCTTATTCTCTTGTTGTTGTGTTATGGAGTGAATTTTCTCTTTAATATTATTATCACCTAACGTTCGCTCGTCGATCGATTGTCTCGTTGATAGATCGTTAATTGAAACGCGACTATCAAACTCTAACGGATAATGATCAGTAAGTTGTTCGTTATGATAGATCGGTTTAATTGGTTTCTCTTCGCATTTATCATTACGTTCATCATAAGGATTGTTTTTATCATCGCCAGCGCCATCATTTAATCGCTTTATTGAATTGAATTTTTCAACCAATAATTCTAAATGTTTTCTCTGTCTAAATTTGGATTCATCTTCGAAGAATCTGGTTTTGGCCTCGACAACGGCATTTCGTAGATCTACAGACGACGTACTACTCGTACTATAGCAATCTAATTGTTCCGTTTGTCGTCGCTTCTCGATTTCGTCAAGTTTCTGTTTCATTGCTAAAAACTCTTCATCACATTCATTATTATCCTCTTTCTGAAAGCAATGCAGAGCGCTTTTGCTCGCTTTCTTCAATAGCTTGGCCGTTTTAAATGGTACGACACTTTTACTTTGTTTACCCATTTGCATGCATTCCTCCTTTTGCCTTTCCAAGTATGATAAAAAGTTCTGTTCAATTTGATTGCTCTCATATTCCAATTGTTGTAGGCGTAATCTACGAAAATCAATTCGAAATTAAATTCATTCATATATCTATCTCTCTCTTCTCTCTCAGAAATATTATTTAAAATGCAATTACTTTGAATCGCAGATTATGTTATTCACATTATGTTCCTGTTCTTTGATATTTGCGAAAACTTTATGCAATTGCTTTTGCGTATTCAGGACATCCTTTAAAAGACCATCTCTTGGCCGAAGAGGTTTAATCATCTCTTGAGTTTGTTTCTTTGGCTGCTGCTGCACAATTGGTAATTCGTCGGGCTGAGAGTTTAATTTCTGAAACGATACCGATCGATAGGAAAAGTGACGATTAATTTAGAGGAAAACATTTTCGCGCAAAAAGGCATAAAGGCTGACGCTGTGGTTGCCTCCTCCTCTACTCTACCTCCGGTTCCTGTACATCCTGGACAATTCGTTCTTGTTGATAACTGTTCTCTCTTGATAACGCGGAGACATTTTGCATTTTTTGCAATAATTCCGTTTGTGTCTTTTCAAATTGCCTTAATTTCGTTTCTATGCTTTCGTTAAGCCGTTGAACTTCGTTAGTGCCATTTTGTTTCCCGGGAGAAGAGAAATGCTGCAAAAAACAAAACCAAAAAGAACAACCATAGTAAATATAGAAAACGAATAAGAAAAATAAAAAAAAAAAATTAGAAGAAAATTTTTTTTAGTAACATTTTTTATCATTCTTTTGCAGACCTTTAAGAGCTTCTCTTTATATTGCAATTTCATGAGACCTTTCACATGCCTCCACTTGATTTTCATCTCATTTTCCAATTGATCTTTATGTTTGGCCAAAGCTTTACGCAACGAACTGTCTACCTAAGATATATATATATATATATGAAAATCCATTATATTTCGCTTATATGAGATAAGCATATCAAAGAAAGGTACGCTAGAAGAAGGCTAGCTCACTCGATTTAAAAACTTTTTGCCATTCGGTGTATTACGCATTTCGTATATCCAATCGGTGTACGATTTCTCTCGTATATCAGTTTCCGTTTCCTTCTCTATAAGATTTTCGGCTCGTTTAGTTTCTTGCTCTTGCTTCTTTTGTAACCATAATTGCCGGAAGCTATCCGCGCATGAGCTAAATTGCGCGGTTAAATCCTCTAAAGCGGCCACGATCACCTGTATGCGTTTATTTTTCCGTTTAACGAGACTTGTTTGTTTCAAATTTTCAGTAATTTTATCTAAATTACGATTCAAAGCCCAATAATCCCTTCTACGTATAGATTTCGGTAATTTAAGCGAACGTCGTGCAGGCTTCCGATTAACAAGTTCATCGAATTTATTATTCATTTCGTAGACGTTTTTCGAAAGTGTTTCTAAATATTTCTTAAACTGATGAAAACTTGTCGCTCTCTTCACTTTCTTCACTTTCTTCGATGACGAGGTGCTAGCACAATCCGATACCTGACTTGCACTCAATTTTCTATGATTACTATTATTATTATTATTATTATTATTATTATTATTATTATTATTAGCATTCAATTGAATGAAATCAGTTTGCACATCTACAGTTCTTTTCAATAATTCTCCAGGTCGTTGTCTCAGTAAATATTTCAATATTAGAAGCAACAACGAATTGCTTCTATCGTCGAAATAATTGCGTACAAGACTTTTATATAATCCTTTCAGACTTAACGATGAGCCAATTATCGCCTCCCAGATATCGGCAATTTCGTATTCATTAAAGCGAAAATTTCGCATACGTTCAAAATCGGGTAAGGCATTCCGGAACGGTACCTCAGTGCAAAACACCGACAACGTATAATGACAATTTTGAGCGTACAAAAATTCAGCCACTAACGTATTTAAAGCCAAAATTAATGGCGACAATGTTAAGCGATATGTCGAACCACTAATCGTTGAGTTTAATGTCTGCGATAGCATCTTTTTACCTGAAATCGAGAAAACAAAAAGCCTTATAAGAATGCTTTATAAGAAATGCATATCTAAGAGATGATAACTTTAAACTGGATGCCAATAGAACACGCATAGGCCGACTGAGGGAATGATGAGATGAATGCTTATCCATTTAATTTTAGCCTTTCATTCATTCATTCATTCATTCAAGTGTTACTTTTTTATCCTTTGCCCACTAATACTTTACCGCAAGCAACTTATTGGTTAGTTTGGCAGGCTGCGCCCCTAACACGACTGTAGTTATATCGTATCATATATATATAATCAAGTTTTTTGAAATAAATCGACCTTTTTTTTTCGGTTTTTAGCTGTTCTTCCAATATATTCTTGATAGGTATATGCGATGAAAATGGCGATAAGAGAAATGTGAACAACATTTCACTTAGAAAAATCGTGCCGCCCTCCAATTCGATATTTGCCAAGCAAACTTCTGATTCCTTTGCATGCATATATAGCATCACGAGTTTCGCGAGGTAAGATATATTGTAGCCGAACTGATTGAGATATTAATTATTAATTTTTGTTTTTGGCTTGAGAGAAACATTGATTGACGTGCAGTAAAGAGATACACGGTGTTTATGAATTTTTTCATTATATATATTTTTTTTTTTTTTTTGCCACAATCTCTTTATTTATTTGGCAAATTGCGTCTCTTATGGCAACGTGGTCTCGCGTCACAATAACAACAACAACAACAACAACAACACTATATAGTTATTTATAGTATTAATGATTTCTCCTGAATAAGCAAGAAATCATTCACTGGGACTTATGGGAATAATGGGGATATACCTAAATTGGTTTTGTTGAAATTATTTATTAAATCGCTACGCAATTTCGCTTGTAACGAGCGGGCGACATCGTCTCGTTCCATCCATTCGTGAAAATGCTTTTCGAATTCCTTTGCCGGTATCTTGGTGAGATCGGCTAAATTAGCTTTCACATCCTGGTCAATGCTCCCCGACATATTATTAATGAATTCGCAATTGTTGTCCATTTGTTTCGTTCCTCTCTCTCTCCCTCTCTGTGATTTTGGGTTTTTTATGCAATTTAATTAAATCGTTACGCAAAATAAAATTATTAAGCTTTGAATTTCTTAAAATTATTTAACAAAAATCAAACGTGTTTTATGTGTGTAGGTTTTTTTTTTCTCCTCGTTTTTTTTTTTTTTTTGTTTTTCAATATTTCCGACCAATAACTATTTTCATATATACACAAATCCGCTAACACACTACTGCCTTCAATTTATGCACAAATGTTTGCCTTTTGTTGTTGTTGGTGGTGGTGGTGGTGGTGGTGGTGGTGGTTTAATTTAAAAGTCACTCGTCCGTAACGGTCCGCAACTGACAATACATACAATTTTGAGTCAATTTGAAGTATATTGCAGTGTTATTATATTATATTATATATTAGTTAACCTAATATATATCGAATCTGTCAATTTTTTGCCCTATGTCAGTGTATTTGAGAATAAATTAAATTGAAATAAACAAATAAATCAATAAATATGCTAACATATTTAGGACAAAATCGACTAATAGATATTTGCGATCCAAGCAATTTTCAACTTCAAAATTATTCGAATTATTTTTTTTGAAAGTCAAAAACCATTGCACCATGACAATGGCTTTTCGATGAATCCAATGCATAGATAAAATTTTGCATATATGATGAGTACTCTTCGATTTGTCCTAAGCAATATAGGGTGGCCTGAGGTCAGACTAGCTTAACTTTGCTTAACTTATAGTGCATTTCAGATAACTCCGCTAAATTTTGATTAACTACTCGTTGCATGGAATATTTGCAATTTTCCCAAGTATTTACGATCGGAATCTTCATACCATCCCATCGCCATACCATCATCATACGTATATTTTATATATTGGACAGCCATAACTGCTTGGGCTAAAGTAGCTCCATTTATTTGCGTTACTTGAAAATAAAAGAAATATCTTCAATCCGATTTAGATCGGGAGTTCGCCAAAAAATTAAATAAATAAATTTTGTAACTAAAGAAAAGATTTCACATATGTTAGGCATAAATGTCAGCGTAACAAGCTATGTAGAATAAACCTTTCATTCCCAATGATTGGAAGAACAAACATCAGGAAGATACATCCGAAAAGTTAATGTTATTATAACGCATGCATATAACATGTAAAAGTATATTTACATACGATATAACTGACAAGAAGTAAAAATCAATCTGTCCGCGAACGATATTCTTAACAAGTCCCATTCAAATAGTGCACCAATTAGGACTGAACTTTTATTGTTGTAAGCGAGGACTACAAATTAGTTCACTTACTTTTGTCAATAAGTTCAACGGTAGACTTAATTAGAGCAAAATTAATAGAAATTTCGAATGTTCAAAGTTCGTTACCCCTACACACTGAAGCCCTTGGTAGCCAATAATTAAAGTAACAAATCGTCTGAAGATCATGTCATCAAAGCAAATGATTCTCTGATTGTTAATAGTCAACGATTACTTGCGTTGCGAGGAAACGGCATTTCCAGAGGGTTATCACTTGAATAGTTCTAGATCGGTTCAGTTTTTGTATATATCACTAAATTATTCATTCATTATACCCTACGTTGGCTTATGGTATGCATGTAAGATGTGAAAAGACTCCACCAAGAGTCGTCCCTTCAGTTCATATCAACTGCTGTTAGAAGTAGGAAGCCCTTTGTCAATGTATATAGCTGCAAGATATATAATTATGAACAAGAGGGGGAAAGTACAAGGGAGGAAGAAATCGTCATAGGAATGCATAGCCAACAATAATGCATTCCAATATCGTTCTGCGCGAGTAAGAAAAGATCTTTCGTTATACCGATTTGATTTTCAATCATTTTATCTGTCCGTATGTCCATCTGTCTGTCCATATATAATATTTTTGATTCCCATACGAAATATATTAACGAAATTTGTCAAGATCGAATGCTTTTCAAAATGGAGCAGTTCGGATCACTTTTTCGACTACTCGTCATCGAACACCATATTTTGGAAATTGTTCTCAACAGATATCGAAGGATATTAACATTTCGGCATAGTAAATTGATTTGAAAAATTTGAATCGTGTAGCTCCAATCTCTTCAATCCTCTCAATCACACCTAGACAATTAAGTGCAACAAGTTTCGATCGTGTAGATCTACTTCTTGGATGCTGCCTATACAACAGTTCCGATATCTTAAAAGTAAGCGTTTGTATGTAGCGAAAAGAACTGAATTTACTGAATTTAAACCACCTTAGTTCACATTTTGGACATGCTCACATAAGAGAGCTCTCTTTAAACTCTTTAAGCTTTTTTATAGAAACCAGTTTTCATTCTTGGTATTTTATTATGAAAGTAAATGGAGAATTGTATTATCCTACATGCTGTAGGGTATTGAAAAGAGGTCTGCATCGGACTATAATGTTCTCATTTGTTTTTTTTTTTACATAAATATATATATATATATATAAACAACATGCTCCACACTACTTGCAATGCTAGGGAAAAGCTTTGTTCACGCAGACACAGTCACAATCATATATGGCAAAAACAACAACAAGTCGACTATAAATCATCAAATTTAAAATCAGCTTATCTTCCAGTAGTCAGTAGTCAGGTATTATATAGTACATATGCTTACCGAACGACACCTACCAATAAGATGAGTATACAAGTTAAAGGTCAAAATCATCCTGAAGCTGCTCAATAACTGGCAATATTCGGAGCAAATTTCCAAGAAAGCTATTATTGCCAAAAGAAGCAAGAGATCACAATCCGAAAATGAAGTAAAGTGCAGATGTTGCAAAAGAAGTAACCATTTCTCTAAACGTCTCCCGAAAATGTAGGATTGAAACCTTGTGGACTTTGCACGTCAACACTTGTAGTATTTGGTTCTCAACTCGTCTTGAAAATTCTCGTCTTCAGAGAACTGATCGCAGAGAAAGTGTAAACTTTTGGAAAATAATGGTCGGCGTTCGCTTTTCATAGGCTTTTCTAATGAACAATAATAATCTGCCTATGCAGTCATAGACGCCACAAGGCAAGTCCAAATTAACCGCATTCTATAGGAATACGAGCGAGAGTTATTCTTCAGGTTGTAAACTTTGCTCGCAAAGATGATCTTAAAGCGGTTATCATCCCAGATAGTTTGTCTTCAACTGGAATCCCATTACCGCGTAGAGAGACAAAATTAAAGTTTCTTTGTGTACCAGATGTTATTGGCCTCTTGGGAAATGAGCGAGTAAACCTAGTGGCCACATTTACATCTTCCGGAAAGTTTACCTTTCAAAAGTGTATTAGGAATAAAATTATAGAAAAAATCGGCAATAGTATGATACACAAGACTCGTTCGTCGTCCAACATCTGCTTCAGAAAGCCCAGAATAAAACACTTGCAGGAATTCTTCTTTCACATACCATTGCAATATATCAATCGATCTTTAAGGAGTCTCTCTACTCCGATCTGCGCTTATGGACTGAATTTCTTGATTTAACATATGCATTGTGGATGGCCGAACTCCACTCTCTGGGATACCTTGAAAATACCTAGAGTACTTTATATCAAGCTGCTAAACTATCTACCTTTAGGAAAAAAAAAAGGATGGGGGGCGGGGGGCGAAAGTCTTATTTGCTAGATCTCATACTACTTTTAGTCCTCGAATTTATTTATTCTCCGCTTCAAGTAAATTTTAATACGAACAATAATAATAATAATACTTGCAAGCTAATGTTAAGCAACATCACGAATGACTTGGAATTCAGATCTCGATTCAAGTTTAAGAATAAGACCACTTGGTGTTTAATAAAAGCAAATTTGTTTTTCTTAATTTATATTAGAAACAAATAAAGAAAAAAAAAATAAAGAAATCCATGGATCTTGGGAAGTAAATCGTTCGCACATTAGTGAAAAATGCAGAAAGAAAGTAATTTTGCTCTGAAAGCCTTCAAACCCGTTAAGCGAACCAATTAGAAAAGATTGATAAGAAATGCGGTATTCTTCGCTTACAACGTAAAAATCGTAGTGAAATTTGTGACAAACATTTTCGAGATCTAGAAATCTGATGCGAAAGCGATGACCACTTATTCATTTGACTTGTGAACTATATATAATAGCAGTAAAGATTTGGGCCTGAAACAATAGCCTGGACCTTTAGCACTTTTGCGCAGCTAAGCTTACATTGCCGAAAATTCATGAGATGATGACATGAGTATCCATGTTAAAAAATGAAAATAGTTGCTATCTAATCGCCTATAGGATAGTCGTCCATAATGAATAAAGGTTTCAATTAACGGAAATTTGTTACGCAAAATTTTTGCTAACAAAATTAAAGATTAAAGAAAATGTTTACGCTGTTCAGCGACATTTCATTATAGTATTGGTAAAAATATATAAAATAAAATATACAAACATATATGCGTACGCGAATGTGTGTTATAAATATATATTTGACTCTACAAATACTTCATAGCATTTATACCATAAATATTATTATAGTTAAGTAGGCCGAAAATATTTACCATAGAAACGCAATTTTTGTTCTAAATTGAAATAATCCCAGCAACCGGTCTGTTAATTGTCATTTGAAATTTGAGATTTTCAGACGTATAACAATTCATTGAAGAAATTTTTTCTCAGATTGTGTAAAAAATTGTTCTGTTCAGCACGACGACGATAATAAGGCAGAAAAAGCGGCAAAAACAGAGTTTGAATTGAAATTGAGAACGTTTTCGATAAATTAAATAAAAATAATAAATAATTGAATTTCATTAGTTAATATTTAAAATAATAATAATTGATAATTGGCAATAATGAGCGCAGCCGAAGAAAAACCGCAAACAATTGTCAAAGAATGTAAGGAAAAATTCGGCATTGGGAAGGCGATCTTAAATAAAAACAAACCCATTGTCTTATCCTCGCAACGTTACAATAAAATTACAAACAATGCCTTTAAATCGGACAAAATTAAAGCACAACAAAAAGCGGAAGAAGAGCATAACCATCGAGAGTATTTGAAGGCGGGAAATGACCAATTGGTGGCGCATTTCAAAGGCAACATGCAACGTACGCAGGAAAAGAAAATGCAAGAAATGAAAGAGCAAATGGAATTGCGTGAGCAGCAGGGTAAGTGTAATTAATTTTCATTCAAAAATCCTTTAATGATGGGTAAGGCAAGGTAAGGCAAGGTAGGGCAAGGTAAGACAAGGTAAGCAAGCAAGCAAGAGATTGAGATTAAACAGTAGAAATACGTTGTATATGAAGCGTTGAGATTTCGACTTTCAAGGAAGAAGAAGAAATTTGATATGTTTTTTGCCTTTTTTTTTTGTTTTTTCATCACTTTGTATAAAAAATTTGACATTTGGCTTGAAAAAAATTCGAAATTTCATGAAAAATTTCTGTCTTGTCACATTTTTCGAACTTTAAAATTTAAAGAGAAACGAGAAAAAAAAAGGAATTGAATCTGACATAGTAGTAGTAGTAGTAGTAGTAGTAGTAGTAGTAGTAGTAGTCGATTGTGTCGTTTTCCCTTTCAATTTATAATTAAAAATTTTTTCTCATTAAGATATAAAACTTATTATTATTTTTTTGAATACAGTTAAGGAGTCGTATGAACAAGCTAAGGAGAATGCCGCTCAGAAACGGAGCGAAAAAATTGCAAAAGCTCAACAAATGTTAGAGAGATTAAAACCGGGACCAAGGAACTTGCACAGTGCCGTCTTGCGAAGTGAAGTGTTGCGAGCCCGCAACATTCAGCGTAATGTTAATGAGGAATTCAAGGAAGCCGTTAAATTACAAGAGAGCGAAACTCAAAAGCGTTGCGAAAATCAGGGTATGTCTTGGATTAACGACGAGCAACAACGCTTAGCCGAGAGGCAAAAGAATACGAATTCTTATAAGCAAGAGTTGCTACAAACTATAAGCGAAAATCAGCGTCGAAAAGCGGAACGGAAAAGGCAGATGATTAATGAGCAGCAAACAGCTAGAGATAATATCGATTCAGAGATGAAAGCCCAAATTGCAAAGGAGAAGGCTACAATGGAGAAGAAGAAGGCGTTCTTGCGTAAAAATGCTTTAGAAGCTATGAAAATGGTCGAACAAAGAAGATTAAGTGAGTGGATTGATTTAATTATTAGCTTTTTTTTCTCTTCTTCTTCTTCTTCTTTTTATATCGTAAAATTTGTAATTTTCAGGAGATCGTATGGTAGAAGAAGTAGAAAATCGTTTATGTTGCGTTTATAATACTGGTAAACGTCAATTGGACAATATGCGCGCAGAGCAGGCCCAGAAAATTTTGACTGATAAGCAGACCAAAGTTGAGGGACAAGTCAAACAAATGACACTTGCCGATGAGGCGGCAAAAGCAGCCGAATCTGAGCGATTAAGACGCGACATATCAACAATGCAATTAAAATTCACTGCTGAAGAGCAAGAGAAAGTACGTAAAGTAAAAGCAGCTAAACAAGCGCGCATTGAAGCTTATCTTGAGGAAATGAAAGAACAAAAACAAAACGAAAGAAAATTAGAGGAGGAAAAGCGTTTCGAAATGGCTCAACGTTATAAAAATGCGGAAGTCGATTGTCTCTTCAATGAGGCAGAGAAATTGGAGAAAGCAAACAAAATTCAGGAGATGCGTAACAAAGTGAACGAGCAAATCGAGGAAACTAAGCGCATTGAATTAGCTCAGAAGCAAGCATCTGAACGTGCATGCGCCGACAATGAAGTCGACAAAGTGCATAAATTCTTTTTTGAATACGCACACACTCTTATGGAGGACGCTAAAAAGAAAGGTCGTCCATTGTTTCCATTTATTAAGGTTGTACAGCAATATAAGCGCGATAATATGATCGATTGTGAACGTAAAACTCCAAAACATTTGGAATCGCATATCACTATTGGCGTTGAACAGCCGGGAACTAGCAAATCAGCTCATAATAAGAACAATTTAATAGCCGCAAAGAATAAAGAAGGTGGAGGGGGAGGGGACACTTCGACACGTGATAGTATTTTGAAGAATTACTTGAAAATTAATGAAATTATTGCAAATGCCGAAAATTTGGCTGGTGCTGTAATGAAGAGCGGCAATTGCACTCCGCAATGTCTATTCGAATGCGATGATAATAATGATAATGAAGATTGCGCTTCAATGTCATCGTCTGCCAAGTTACGTTATTCGATGAACGAATTGAAGAAAATGAATCAATTTGCGGATACGGCACCGTCCCACCAATAAATCTGCTATTCTTTCATAGTCCTATTATTATTATATTTTATTTTTATTATTATCATTATTATTATTATTAGTATTATTATTATTATTATTATTATTATTATTATTACTAATCTTAATATTATAACCGCTAGCAGTAACACGAAAACGAAACATTCAAAAAAATTCTCTTTTAAAAATTTATATTAAAATCCCTTAGAATATATATATATATACATAGATCCCTTCATATATATATATATTAGTTATAGTTATTATTATTAATTTTCTATCATCTCTTTATTTTTCCATCTTCTATCTAACTATCTATATATATCTAATTATAATTGTGAACTTGGATCTCACATCCAATTTCATTTTTCTTAGTTTATTGATTACTCGATTTGTTGTAATTCATATTTAACCGGCAATTCTGGACGTTCTGTTGTATGCGATGAATGAAAATGATATATGAAATAAAAAAAAGGAAAAACATTGTTTTTTAGCAGCGGTTTCAAAAACAAAAACAAAATCATGCCTTTTCATATTTCTAATACTACTTACCCTCGTTTACTTAAAGCTGCTAATTTACTTTTGATACGTTTACGGTCCTGAGCTATTATATTTAAGCGCTCTTTCGTCGAGAGCTCAAAGAAAACTGAATGTAACGAATGGCCGGCTGAAGTAATCTAATGGAATTGAAGATAGTAATAAATAAATATCTTTTTATTTAAAAATTTTTCTTTATTATATAATTGAATATGAATTAATGTAGACGCGTTACCTGTTGAAGTAGACGGGCTTTTAATTTAACATTTTCAGGTGCATTCGCTTCTTCGGAATTTTCGCAAGTTTCAAAATGTAAATTTATGACGAAAGTCAACGTATCGCGTATAATCCGAACTATACGTTGAATTTGTTCTGTACGGAAAAGTCGTCGCACCAGATAGCCACGGGCGTGAGCGTTAATCTTCGTGGCAACTTTATCGAATACTTTATCGATTCGATAATAATCGATTAAAACGGAGTTCGTCTATACGAATTACAAAGAAGAAAGATCGCGTATACGCGGCATATAAGGAATGAAAAAAAGTTTTTATTTTTGTTATTCATCGGGCGGTGGAATTAATTTTTTATTAGACAATATATTATAATTTTTTTTTTAAAAATATAACTGAATTTTGTTTTTGTTTTTTGTTTTTTTTTTTTTATAAAATCTAAATAAAATTAAACGAACAACAAAATATTGGTTAAATCATCAGTTTCTTGTTTCGATGAGCAAAGAATCGTTTAGTTATGTTCTTCGGTTTTAAGGCACATTTGTTAGTCGTCATCCGATTCAGATGCGTTAAATTTTGTTAGTCTTGAACTTAGTTTTCTTCTAAATTTTAAAAAACTCCATATTTTTCGTTAGTATTGAGGCTTGTTAAACAAATACAATAAAATACAATGAGAGAAGTACAATAGAGAGAGAGAGAGAGAGACAGAAAGAAAGATAAAGATAAGGATATACGAAATTGTTAAATATTTTATCTTATTATAATATAAAGTATATATTTTTATATACATACATACATACATATACATATGTAAGGTTTACTAGTAAATAATCCCGAGCTATGATTGGATGCATATGTGAAAAATCTGTAAGAGAGATTCTATCTTTAGGGTCCTACAAGAGTACCATAGTCCGAATTTTCAAGCGGCCAATTAAGGAATTGCTTGCTTACGCAAAAATTCAAATTGGATGTATGTTAAAGCGGGTTCGAAAATAAGTTTTTTTTTTTTTTTGTTTAACTCAAGCGTTAATCTATGATGAAAGAAAGTAAAAACACTGCGCCCTTACATTTTATTTATGCGAAAAAAATATACAAATAAGAAAATATATTTCGCGGTAAGACAAATCTTGAATGCATATTATGTTCATATTAGGTTGTTTGGAAAGTAATTGCGTTTTTTTTTGTTTTTTTTTTTTAATGAAAATGAAAGACTGTTTTCTTACAGTGCAGAAATATTTTGTCGCTCAGTCATCTCACGAGTTGTTATTCATCGGTTTGTATCAACAAATGCCTTTATTATGCGTTCATCGACTTCACCTGAACATGGTGCATCTTCAACGTCAAAATCGCCGAATCGAAATTTAATAACCCAATTGTGGCACTCGCACTCCATCAATACATCTTCTATATATGTTGCTTTTCGCTTTCCATATTTGAAACGGCACCACCACCAAAAACTCCTGCCTAGAATCGATCGACCTTTTCATAAATTATATAATGTTTATGCGGCATAAGCGAGAAATTGTCTGTGGAAATATACAATTAAGTTTTGGGGTGAAAAAAAAAAAAAAAAAAACGAATTGACTTTTCGAACAACCTCATTAACGCAAAACTTCTTCACTTACTGTAAACGCGACTTAGTTACTCGTCTGATAGTAGTAGTAGTAGGTTTTTTTTTTTTTTGAATTTCTTTTAATTTTTCGATAGGTTCTTTCTTAAACTCGATCTGATTGATGAATTCAATTTGAAATATACAAAGATAAGGATTCGTTTTTATTTCATAATTTTTACCAATAGAGCGTTTGAGCGAAATCTGCGTCTAATTGCAACGGTACACACATGTATTATGGGATCCCTATCATAATTAATATTGCGGCCAAATATAAATTTGAAGTCAATTAAACGAAGATGATCAATTTGACACCAATGCTGTAGAATGGCACACGAGAACAACCTTAGAAAAAGGATTCAGAAATTGCAATGAAAACGTGTTCTCAGAACACTTTCAAACTAACTAAACAATTATATTTAAGTGTTACAGGCAAGGCCCGCCAGCTTCTTTGCTCTGCACACACATATTTTCTTAAAGATTTATTCGCTTATAAAATATTAACATTATTTAAAAGCAAGACTTAAGGTATTGTATAATTTTTTTTCGGTTAAAATCAAGTATTCCTTAGATAACCTTAAGAACTTTTAATAATAAAGCTAAGCATATAAGGTAGACTTTTATATTGATATAGTCATATCGGCCATATGTAATAAAAAATATTGAAAAGCTGAGAAATAAAAGCCGTGGCTTAAACGGAACACTTTAGGTAAACAGGACACTTTAGGTAAACGGATTAAAAAAATTAAATTATTACGATTTAGAATTTTACATCGGGACTGAATCTCTTATACCGCTGATTACCGTTACTCCAAAAAGAAAAGAAAAGAAAAGAAAGAAAACTAACTTAATTTCCATGCTCAATAATATGAAATGGGCGCAGCTGATTTTTTTGTATGTTCAGATTAAAAGTAGATATTTACATGATTTATGTGTGTTGTGTGTTTAATGAGTGAGTAGTAAGCAAAAAATCCGGAATACAAAAGTGTTCACAGTTTTTGTTGTATAGCCGTGCAAGGGGTGTACGCGTGTATTTTGGCCGGTTTAGGTCATTTCTCTTCACTTTCTTTTGCATACTACTTATCAGCACTTATTAGTAAAGCTACACATTGTTAACTGATGAACACAAACTCAGTTTGATAAAGTGTTGCCTATTCCCTAACCACATATATATATATATATATATATATCCATAAAAGATAATATATATTATTTGAAAAATTTCATTAATAATTGAAAACCTATTAAAAAAACATTATTTTTGTTAAACGACTTGGTGGTGGATATCACCCTTCATTTTGCAGACATTGCTAAGTGATCATTATCGGATACGATTTGAAAATAAATTTGGAGACATTATTAAGACAAAATAAACTATCCGACTATGTTATGCGTATTTAGTTAATTTGGAGAAATTAAATAAAAAATTTGAGATGAAAACTTACACGTCTTTCACGGGAGTGTGTACCAATATTGTTTTCGACAGTGTTAAAACTTTCTGGTTTGCGGAGACTGGCAATGGAACCTAACGGATTAGTCTGCGAGGGCGTTGCAATTGTATTGATGTCTTGGGCAAATAGGCGTCTTCGTGGCGTATGATTCTTAACTGTGTTATTCATAGCATTGGCAACCGGTGCTGTATTGCATCCAGATTTACGGCTATAAGGCACTGTTTTATTGTTCACTGACGAATTTAATGGAATCGTAGCAACAATCGAGGTGGGCGATAAATTAGATGTATTATATGTTGGAAGCGTTGCACTAGATGGCGGAGGGATTCCCGAAATTGAAACGAATGAACTATTAACACTTAAAGTTGGTGAACTAAGTGTGGATTGCAATGAATTTTTGGAATATCCCGATTGGGATTGCGAAATATTCAATGAATATCCGGAAATATTTAATTGAGCACTTTCCGGATGATTAATTACACTTGATGGAACCGATGCCGAAGTATTAGGTAAATGCATATGTGTGTCTGCCATTTCTTTGGTTAATTGTTCCAATAAAAATTTTTGTTGCAGCTCAAAAGCACGTTCCAATCTACGTTTTTCCTCTTCTTGCTGAGCAAGAAGTTTTAGGAACTTCTCTTTTTGTTCCATATCCATATTCGACAGAAACTCTTGATTATTTGATAATTGCTGTTTTTGCTTCTGATTGTTATCATAATTTTGCTGAAAAGCTGATTGTATTGCTGTTGCTGAATTGCGAGACTTTATTGGATTCCTTGCAGCTATCGTCGGCGGCATCGTTTTACGTGAATGCATTGAGAATTTATGAGATGATTGAAAACTAGTTGAACAATTTTTTGTTAGTTGTACGGGATCATAAGGTGATCTTTTATTTTTATTAATGTTAGGGCAATAGTTGTGGGACGAGGTGGATGTATTGTATGGAGAGGCACTTGAAGCAATCAATTTAGTTGACGAATTTTTCAACTGAACTTTGGAGCGCGAGGCTTTAGATTCAACCTTATGTACCTTTTTAGCTTTTGATTCGACAGTATCACTAGTAGCTCGGCTGTGATATGATTTACTTGGGGCGAAGGCTGTTGTGGTCATTTTTGATGAAGGCAAATTCTTTTCGTCTACGGTTTGATTTTGTTGGCGCATATGATCAATGAGAACTTTTGATGGTCCTTCCAAAGTGAATGAGGTAGAACGTACAAGAGGAATTTGTTGTGTTATTTCTGTTTCTATTTGAAGACCAATACGCGGACTACCTGGTAAACGGTTACCCGTTAAGAGCTTAAGCGATGGACTGGTCGCCGAGCGACTCATACATGCAGTAATTGGTTCTGTATAGCTATTGTTTTTTTCAGGGCTGCTGGTAGGTGTTGCCGTTGTTGTAGTTGCTGATAAAGACGATGTCGGCGTAGAGTTTTGACCACTTATAGCTTCAAATTTTTGTATTTTAGCTGAAATGCTAGTTTTCTTAAAATCGTCCATATCATCTTTATTTCTAGGGCTGCTATGTGTTGATTGACTCCCTGAATTAACTAGTAGACTGCTTAAACTTTCATCGGAGTCGTCTGGATACGCGGTTGCTTTTGAAGGAGTTTCTGAAATTGTAAGGCTATCAGTGCTTTCCCTATCAACGCTTGGCTGATTTGCACTTTCTACGTCTACAACAGGGGTGGGAGGATTTACACATATGGTAGGTATGCTAGAATTCAACGTTTTATTCTTATTAGGCAGCAGTAGAAATTTTGGTTTCTTTGGTTGCAAATAATTTAAGTTGGCCTTACGTTCCAATTCCAAAAGTTGCCTCTTGCAATCTCCCAAACTCCGTTTCTGTGCAGTTGCTGCCACTACCTCAGGAGCAATATTATCATAGACCAATGTTTCAGATTTTTGTAATTTTTTCAGCTTGCAATTATCTATTTCAGCATTTTTATTTACGAAATGGTAATTATCTTCTGATCCACCCTCCTTTTTTTCATTTTCGTCCTGACCCTCTATAAGATTCTGCAATAAAGCCAATGACTCTTCCGTTTCGCTGCTTTTGGCTTCATAAAAGTCTTGCGATCTTTGAGAAACACTACCAATACAATTGTTAGCAGAAGAGCGTGATGTCTCACTAACTTTATCATCTGTTCCATCGTTGTTTTTTGATTTTTGCATCCGCCTCTCCATCAGCTCTTGTTCCACTCTAATAGCTTTTTCTTTATATTTGTGCATTTGTTTCCTCTTTTCCGAGGTCATCTAAAAAACATGTACAAACGATTATTAAATAATTATTCCGCTTCACTAATTTTTTCTTACCAATGGTGGCAGTATTGGTTTACCATCGATGCGAAACATCGACATATATTTTGCGGGTGAAGGTTTCGGTGGCTCCTCTTTACCAGCTTCCGTCATTTGTTGATTTTCTTCCAATTTTTTCAGTAAAGCCTCCATAATTTATATTGTTGTTTATGAAGGTTTATATATGTGAAAAAAACAAAAATCGAAATTAATTAATAGTTTATGGAATTTTTAATTTACAGCGTTCTTTTATATTCTCCTGAGCAATCAATTTTTTACATAGTTTCATATAATTTCTCTAACACAATTAACAATTTTTTTTGTCAGTTTTGATGTGAATTTAAAAACATACTTAAAGTTTTACTTTGTGTATGGTCTTTTGGTTGTTTTTTGTAGTCTTTTTTCGTAGTTATTGGTAACTCTCTCTTTATAAACGCACTATGCAGCTCGCATTAACTATTGATACGGAATGGAAATGAAAAAGCATAATATTAGAACTGAAAAATTGTTCCACAATTGCACAATATATAGTGAATACATATATACAATTTAAATGGAAAGCCATAAACGATCGTATTATTAGGCTTTCAGTAGATGACATTATTATTAATCAGATAATTAATAATAAATATTACTATAAGAATAAGATATACGAATGTTCAAATGCATTTTCAAATTAAAATGAAAAAAATGTATGAAGACGCACATGACTTAATGCAACACTTTTTTTCCATTTAATCATAAGAAAACATCTTAACTTTTTAGATGCTAATTAGATACTTTGCAAAGGTGTCTCTTGCGTTTATTATAGGTTAAATTTGATATGAAAATGATGATTTTCATTTTTTATAATTTTATTTTATAATTTTTATCTGGGCTTTAGAGGAAAGTATGTTTTGGTTTTAGAAAGAAATATGTTACTTCGCCTCACTTGCGAAATCCATTAGTCATTTTAAAAGATTTTAATTAAAGTTTTCCCTACGTTGTCGTATGAAGTTCTTAGCAGAAATTTTAATACATTCATTATGAATTCGTTATACCTATTTTTATAAAGTTCACCGCATAAAAGCAACCCTAGTGAAAGGAAAACAAAGTGATAAGGGAAAAATTAACAAAGAACAGTTATTTTTCAGTTATTTGACAAATACGGAATCAAGCAGTTCGGTCAGTTCGGTATATGTTTTGTACTTCGATGCAGGTGTGACGTATTATTTTTTTTTCTATAAACATGTTTGTTTGTATGAATGTGTTGCGCTAAATTATTGCAGTTTACAAAGGACATTAAAAATATAATATAAATTAGGCGTTATTATCCATAAATATCATAAAAAATCATATAAAAATTGCGCATAATAGGAATAAAAGAGCATGTAAAGATGCAACATGTGTGATTGAGAAGTGAACGTTAAAAAGAATGACGGATAAGCAAAAATACGTACATTTAAAGAAAATGCCTTAAATGAAAATCAGCTGTTTGTGTAAAGTCACTTTTGAATGAATTTATACTTTGGTAGGTAAATAATTAATACTCCCATAAGGATAATGAGAAAAAATATGTGCAATAAATTCATTTTGTTGTGATATTTTATAAATTTTGACATTTGACATATGTTTATCGTCTAAAATGGGACCGTGTTGTCAATTATTAACACAAAAATTGTACGCTAATTTTTCTTATTTTGCAACAAGGACAAGGTTATCGCTCACGAAAAAGTACTTAGGAACCTAAGTCTGACTTTCTTATGACCAAAGTGAGCATTTGATGTAAACATATGAAGGAATTATATCCATTTTGTGAAAAAACTTTTTAAAGCTCAACATTGACTCGGAACATAGGGAAAAACGTGGTTTCTTTGTTATTTGTGAACGTGTCAGCTAATTGGAATTAATTTCATTCACAACGATATATTTGTAAAATTCAGTTATATATTTTCCATTGATTGTCGGTTAATGAAAAAAGATTTTCAAATTTTCGGCCTTTTTTGTTTTCTTTGAAAAGACTTCTGCCTAGTGGCATTCCGTATCCATTTTGCATTTGGTGTACGGGTTGTTTATCACTTTAGAAAAAAACAGGTTGTGATTTAATGTTCAATGCTCCTAAATGTCCATTGGTCACTATAAATCTAATGAGGAAAATCATAAGTTAAAGAGCTGTCCTATATTTTATTTATCTGAAATTCATTATAATGAATTATTATGTTTCCATTAAGAAGAGGACTTTTATTTGTTTACAGTTCCGCATTTTGGAGTCCTGCGAATTTATAGTGTTTCGTTTGCCAGAGAAATGATATTGAGAAGGATTTCATTTTACCATCAAGTCTAAAAAATGTAAAAGCAATCTCACTTTCCCTACTAGCCATTTAGAATTGATTTATAGCAGCGACATCAGGATTAGAATTTGGAAGACAACGTGATTTCGCTTCCGTTACTTGCGTAAATCTTAAACCATTGCCTTTTTAAAGTTCGCTGGTACTGCATTAAAGATATGCTGCTTATGCACAAAACCTTCTAATCCCTTAAGTAGGAGGGAAGAAGGCCCAAAAAGATTGAATAAAAGTTCTTTATTAGGCGAAGAAGGTAATAGTTTAGAAAAAGTTCGTTCTAGTTTCAGATAGATTTAGATTATATTTTGATCCAGTTTTAAAATAAACAACGTAATGTCGTTTGTTTTTTTAAAAACAGTATGCGTTGTATTGTCATTTAAAAAATCCGGCATTTATCTGAAATAGATGATAATCTTTTGACTTTTGCCTCATTATGGCTGAAGACTCTGAATGCAAACTAGGGTAAGAAGAGTGAATACCTTTTTATTTAAAAATAATTTTTCTATATAACATTTCAACTCTCAGCTGCCATTTAATGTGATGAAGCAATCTGGGTAAGAATTGACACTTTCGTGATATGGTTACATGTATATGTGAGTCTTAGACAACTTTATAAAGCGAGGATGCATGCGAATGACGCATTCTTAATAGTTATGAACCGTTATTATTTTTATAATTTTTTGTAGAAAAACTTAACATTATTTTCGAAATTAATGAAGGCACTTATAGTTGAAAGTACGTAGATTTATTTAAGATAAATTTCTGTAGCTGTTGTGTTCCGCACATAAAAAGAACTAAATTCAGAAGCTCGTGTTCGGCATACGTAACAACATTGCTTAGAATTAATTTTCTAGGAAAGCGTTAACATATCTTTTTTCGAATCACAAATGTAATACGTTTACTGTGCTTTATTACCGTTGCGTAAAACAAGTACTACCTATTAAGTAAATTAAGTACATAAAGCGCACCGTAATCAGTTCGTATATGATTTTATTTGATTTCTTTTTGCATTTACTAACAACCCTGTCGTTTAACAATTAGCGATTTAAGACATTTTTTAAGAATGATGAAAGTCTATCGATAAATTGGCCGAGTTTGTAGTTTGCGGAAAAGTTTTATGAAATTAAAAGTTTCACTTCGAAAAGAGCGTACAAAGATTTGATTTGTAATATAGATTCGGCCCTTAATATTGGAATGCGTTGTTCGCTGCTCAAATGTAGAAAGCAAATCTCTTTCATGTGAAAAAAGTTCGCTTTGGAATTTTCCTTCAATTCCAAAAAAACTATATTAAGCCTTTACTGAACTTAGAAAGGCACTTATTTTCAAATGCTCCGCGACCAAAATATTGCTTCTCTTTAAGGTTAAAACATAGCAGCGCGACTGACTTGAAGAAATCTTTCAAAATATAGAAGGAATCTGTTAAGAAATAATGTTGCGCTTTACTGAGAACATCTGACACGATTTGCGTACTATATTAGATAATGATGCTTTTTGATTCATATTTCGGAATAATTCACGTTTAGTAAATGAAGAAATCGCTAAAGCGATTTTAAGCAAGAGAGCATTTGAGTTTCATATGAATTGCTGAGGAGAAAAAGATTTCTATTACATTTATAAGAATCGTATTGAGAAATAATAAAAAAAAATTGGAGCCCTTTACAATAAAGCGTAGCGATGTAAAAGCCAGTAAGAATCTCGGCAGGTCATATCAAAGACCCGAGAGATTGCCTGAAGCTATCAAAAAGAATCCTAATATTGGTAGCTTGTTTCGTTATGGTAAGTTTGGAAACTATGGGCAAACAGCATTTGCATGCTGAGTGAGACATGTAATCGAAGTATCATAGAAATATCTGCGTGGGTTCGGTAAACATTAAAGCCAATAGAAAGCAATGCAGTTTCTCATGGCAAAGAAGAAGCAATGAGCATTTTCCTTCTTTAAGCATTGTCAATGTAGAAGAATCGGCAGGTCTTAATATTCTGAGTACGAAAACACAAAATAATATGCTTTGCACGTTTTTCAAAGCGTTTTCAAAAATACTTCACTGCAGCCGATATCTGTATAATTTACATCGCCTATATCCTGTCAAGTTTAGTATATTAAGAATGGAAAAGAACTTCGTGAGCTTCGAGTGCAGTATAGATCGCAGATATTCGTAGGTAATAAGAATGTGTGGAATATCCTTGGTATTTTTGGGCACCGGGGCAATATGGGTTGTGTTGCGCTTATGGTTACGTGCGTTTACAATGCACGATTAGATGTTTCGCAGAGAAATAACCGATACTTGTCCACCGATAAAATCTTCGCATGCCGCGTAATAGGCTAGCGCGACTTGTTGTTTTTTTAAATGCGCTGGCCGCCCATGGAACAATCTCCCTGTAATGGCCATTCCCGTCGTTCCAGATGCTTCCATTTTCAAGTCGGACGTATTAAAAACACTGTTCTCTCTTTCATCACCCCTGCGCCTCTGTAATCGTACCTGACCACACCATCGTGCTCGAATGTATAGGAAATGTAATATGAATGGTTGGTCAAATACAAGAAAAAAGAAAATTAAATCATATACAGCAATAGTAACAGAGAAAAGTGAAGAAATTAATGCGATTGGAGGGATGTGGCATCCGCTTGACATTATGTCAGATATCTTCATTCTTTGGAAAGTATTTATTCTCACTTTAAGACGCACAAATTTTATGTGAGAATTATTATTGACTGAATCTGAGTAAAAATTGAAAAGCAAAGCCATCCATTCAAATTTCAAATTTATCATTGTTCTGCACCTACGTATGTATGTATTTGCGTATATGAAGTAATTGCATTTATTCATCTCCTTTTTAATAAAAATCACGAGAATTTCTTATTGTTAATGGAATTCGAATGCGGTGCTTCTGCAGTTGATAAAAATCAAAATTAAAGCAATCAATTCTTTTTTTGTTTTGCTTTTTTTTTTTTTTTTTAACTCTTTCTGAAGTCATCATAAAATTTACGAGAAGAATGAAGAGTTAAATAAACATAAATTCACTGCGTTGTGCAAGTCATTGCACGATATCGAACGCAACTGATAAATGAACTTCGCTTTTCAAAAGAGCGCAGCAGCATATGCTTTTTTTTTTTTGTTTTTTTTTTGTGAAAGTTTTATCTTTTTTTTGAAAAAATTATTAGCATTCAAGACAATTCATGTTTCGAGGGCGTACGTGTACTTTTTTAATATGGGCATATGTACATATATATATATATATATATATATATATATATATATATATATACATATATATAAGAGCGCGCGCGTGTATGCGTGTGTGAATATATCAAAAAGAACTCCCTGAAGAGAAAATTCACGCAAACCGAAAATTCATTTATATGAGCATACACAACATAAGCTTAATAACGTTCGAGAGAAAGAACGTTTTCTAATCATATGAATAACCAGCGCGTATCAATGCAAATTGATTCAGTTCGGTTTTCTTGTTTTGCCCTTCACTATATATGATGCCAGCACAATAGTAGTAGTAGATGCCAGCCAAGTAGTAGGTACCTATAAATAAATTCACTTTATGGATTTTCATGTTTATGTCTTCCAACGCTCGTTTTTCTCCCTTCTTCTTCTTCTTCTTCGTCATCATTTTTTTTTTTTTTTTTTTTTTTTGCATACCTTAAAGCCGGCTTTAAAAAGCATTGTATTGATGTTGCTGTTAATGATACTATTATTATTGTTGTTTTGTCAGTATTTTTATATATGCATATTTTTATTTTTTTTTATTTTTTATTTTTTATTATTACTATTGTATTCTCAGGTTTTGTTTTAAAAAGTTCATTGACATGATCGGTATTAAAGTTTCAGTTGAATTTATTCGTTTTGGAACAAATATATAAGATGAGCAATTTATACATAACATCTTCAAGATGTTACTTTTATATTGTGGCCAAATTGAATGTTCAATCTGTTTAAAGATGGCATCATTGTTATTCATTTATTCATTATACACATTTTGATTGAAATATTTTATAACAGGTTTGAAAATAAAATTATGCTCGTCTTTATGGAACTATGAGAAAACTATTTAGCAAAAAAAAAAAAAAAAAATCGCATTTAAATATATTTATATATACATATGTATTTTATATATATTAAGAATTTTTTTAGTATAAAGCTTGTTGTCAAGTTAAAATACGATGATGTAATATGAA